AGTATCAGTGCTTATAATGTCTTCCGCAGCCCATTGGTAGGACATGTCGGAACAGTTTTGAGCATATTGCTTAAATCTGTAAATGGTTGTTCTAGCCACTTTCTCTATATGCAAATGCAGAGGAGATAGGCCAAGCAGAACCTCCATTGCTAGAGTTGGCGTTGTGCCTATCGCACCAGAGATTGCCAATCCAGCTACTCGTTGAATTCGTGAAAGTTTACTGATAACTGAAGTCTGTCGGACTTTCCTATACTAGGCTGCTGCTCCGTATGTGATCATAGGTCTAACCACAGTCACATAGAGCCAGTACAGTCTTTCAGGGGTAAGACCCCAATTTTTTCCACAAAGACTGCAACAAGTCCACAAGGATAGTCTAGCTTTGTGCAAAATTCCCTGCAAATGTCCATTCCATGCCAAGATTTTGTCTAAGATTACTCCTAGATATTTGACTTCCTTTGAGAAAGGAATTTCTTCACCTTAGATAGTTGGGCGGATTGTCATTTGCGGGTTTATCGAGAGGTTCTCTCCCTTACACCAAGCGCAAATGGTATCTAGAGTCACTTGGAGGACTTTAGATATCGTCGACCAACAGGTTCCTTTGACCATAACGACAATGTCATCAGCATAAGCTTGTATTTCTACACCAACGGCTTCGACTATCGCAATCAGATCGTCAACCAGGAGGGACCAAAGACCCTGCGGGTAGCCACCTCACGGCCTGAAACGTGAGAGTGAAGAGATTGTGATATTACGTTGTTGAACGCTCCTTTTATATCCAGAAACGCACAGATCAAGGTTTCTTTATCCTGCAGCGTCCTGGATACTCTACCAACTAAGTTGTGTAGAGCCCATTCTGCTGATTTTCCCGCTTGATAAGCATACTGATGGCACCGTACGGATATACCATGTTCCAGAACTTTTTCAAGGGTTTTCAACAGAAATGATGTTAGGCTGATGGGTCGAAAGGCATTAGGAGTAGGGACCGAACGACCCGCTTTGGGTATATAAGATACCCTTACCTTGGTCCATTCTGCTGGTACATATTTCCAGGCGACACTCGCTCTGAAAATTTTTACTAAAATTGGCAACAACAGTGACCTTCCTTGCTGTAACAAAGCAGGAAAGACATTGTCTTCTCCAGGCGATTTGAATGGCTTAAACGTTTGAATCGCCTGGTCCACGGATGTGCAAGTGACGACATTTCTAGTCACACTCCAATCCGTATTTGAGGGGCGCTTTGCCTTGCAGGAATAGCCCACTGTGGCATTATCAGCCCTCATGATCAAGCTTCCTGGGAAGTCAGTATGTACGAGAAGCTCTAACGAGGCTCTGCTAGAGTCCGTAAAACTACCGTCAGGCCGCTTACATAAGTCCAGGGGTAGTGCCGGATCTCTAGCGAAAATCTTGTACATTTTTGCACTGTTGGGTGTGCCTTTTACTCCTTCACAGAACCTCCTCCAAGACTCTCTTTTTGCCTTATGTATGTTTTTGGTGTAATTCGTTAGAGCTTGTTTATATTGCTCTCATTCACCTAATGTCTTGGCCCGGTTAAAAAGCCTCCGGACCTCTAAAGACAAGATAAATCTAGAGTTGATAAAATATTTGGGAATAAAAGGGAACGAGTGGCTTCTAAGTATACATAAAACCGCATGGGAGCTAATACGAAGAGAACTATTATTCTTGGACTTAAAAACAGGTTTTGACATGGTTAACCATAGTATTATATGGAAGTGTCTACAACAGCTAATGCTACCACAAAAACTAGAGAACATAAGATAGAAGAAGTATCATCATATGAGTACTTGGGCAGTATAATATCACAAGATGGAAGGATGGATTTAGACATAAATGCAAGAATTAGGAAAACAAACGATGTATATCATACTCTAAACAGAACAATTTTTGGGAAGAGCTAGATAAATAAGAAGATAAAATTGAAAGTGTACAACTCAGTGGTAGTCCCAATANTCCCTTACACCAAGCGCAAATGGTATCTAGGGTCACCTGGAGGACTTTAGATATCCTCGGCTAACAGGTTCCTTTGACCATAACGACAATGTCATCAGCATAAGCTTGTATTTCTACACCAACGGCTTCGACTATCGCAATCAGATCGTCAACCAGGAGGAACCAAAGCCTGCGTCGAAAGGCATTAGGAATAGGGACCGAACGACCCGCTTTGGGTATATAAGATACCCTTACCTTGGTCCATTCTGTTGGTTACTAAAATTGGCAACAACAGTGACCTTCCTTGCTGTAACAAAGCAGAAAAGACATTGTCTTCTCCAGGCGATTTGAATGGCTTAAACGTTTGAATCGCCTGGTCCACGGATGTGCAAGTGACGACATTTCTAGCCACACTCCAATCCGTATTTGAGGGGCGCTTTGCCTTGCAGGAATAGCCCGCTGTGGCATTATCAGCCCTCATGATCAAGCTTCCTGGGAAGTCAGTCTGTATGAGAAGCTCTAACGAGGGTCTGCTAGAATCCGTAAAACTACCGTCAGGGCGCTTAAGTAAGTTCAGGGGTAGTGCCGGATCTCTAGCGAAAATCTTGTAAATTCTTGCACTGCTGGGTGTGTCAAGACTCTCTTTTTGCCTTATGTATGTTTTTGGTGTAATTTGTTAGACCTTGTTTATATTGCTCCCATTCACCTAATGTCTTAGCCCGGTAAAAACCCTCCGGACCTCTAAAGACAAGATAAATCTAGAGTTGATAAAATATTTGGGGATAAAAGGGAACGAGTGGCTTTTAAGTATGCATAAAACCGCATGGCAGCTAATACGAAGAGAACTATTATTCTTGGACTTAAAAACAGGTTTTGACATGGTTGACCATAGTATTATATGGAAGTGTCTACAACAGCTAATGGTACCACAAAAACTAGAGAACATAAGATAGAAGAAGTATCATCATATGAGTAGTACTTGGGCAGTATAATATCACAAGATGGAAGGATAGATTTAGACATAAATGCAAGAATTAGGAAAACAAACGATGTATATCATACTGTAAACAGAACCATTTTTGGGAAGAGGTAGATAGATAATAAGATAAAATTGAAAGTGTACAACTCGGTGGTAGTCCCAATATTAACATATGCCAGTGAGTCACGGACGCTCCAAGATAAACAGGAAGGAAAGATCACAGCAATGGAAATGAAGTTTTTACAAAAAATAGTTGGCAGATATAAGGGAATTAGCCAGGAACCGGAGGGAGTGGACGAGGTGGATGGAAGAATAGGAAAAAGGTTTATCCGACGCCATCATGCAAAAGGATCGAGAGCAGAAGTCAGAGTCGGAAGAACAAGAAAGTGATGAGGATATGCCAGATGAGGCTGAAGAAGCAAACGCGGTATATTTTTCCGCAATATTTTTTAGCCAAAGATAAACAAATCCTAATGGAATAAGAATGTAATTGCAAGTAGGTTTAGCAAGACTTGATAAACTTTTCTCTGATAATATTATTGACACGGAATTTAACTTCACTCATAATTGGTACTATTGGAAGATAGAGCGAATGAAGAATATGGAAGATATCGAGGTAATGAAAGAAGCAATGGGAAGAGAGAATATAAGGGTAGACGTAGACTCGGAGGGAGAGCAAACAAGGGGTGGTGGACGAAAGGTACAGCATTGGAGGCTCAATACAGAGAAACAAGTAAGAAATAAAAACACATATGTAGAGCAAAGAAAGACGGAGGAAAGCAAAGGGAAGATACAGAAGTCGATACCATAAAGTTGGAGAGGATAGGTTACAGAATGAGGCGTGGCTGCAGGCAATACAAGATATAGAGAAATTTCTGAAAGCTTTGAATAAGATTTAGAGGGTCCAGAAATTCCCTTGGCAATTCCGTGGCGAGTCGGAATGATATGCTAGGTTTAAAAATTTATAGAGGAATAAACCTGTTATTTACTGTATATAAAATATATGCAGATATACTGGATGAGAGGCTAAAAAAGGAGATGGAAGAAAAATGATTCTACCAGATGAAATCATTTTTCAGTCAGATTTCATAATTAGAAGAGAAACTGCAAACAATGTATTCATATTGAGGCATGTCGTGAACAAGGAACTAAATAAAAAATGGTGCAAATTGTATGCTCTATTCATAGATCTAAGAGCAACATTTGAAACAGTAAATAGGGAGAAATTGTATAAGGAGCTAAGGAAGAGCTATAAACATTCCTATATCTTTTTATTGTAGTTTCCCTCATATTGGTAAATTTATCAAAACATGGACGGAATCCCGGGGACCGTTTGGTTTTTTATAAGAAGGCCATGAAATTTTGTATTAGAGGGATCAGAAAGCACTGTTGTTTTTTACATTAAATACAAACATATAATTTTTTTTAAACTTTATATTTCTATTTGAAATCTTCATGCTTACCATTGTGTTGGATTAAAGATTAAAGACAATTTTGCACTTTTGTAATGGAAAATCTTTTATTATTTAGCTTTTACCGGTTTCGCCCTAAGGGCATCTTCAGAAAGCCACCTGTTGTATAAAATTTATATTTCTAGTCGTTATCAAGATTTTTTACCATCAGTGTGCAAATTTTCAAAGTCAATTGATTTTTGAGCAATATATCTGGAGAGCACATTTTTGACATCATCCAAATTTGAAAGTTTTTGCCATTTTTGAAAATGTTGTAGCGACCAGAATAGTAAATTGAAATTCGCGCAACATCGAGTACAGTAGGTGAGGCAATACTTTCCACCCCAATTTAAAAAAATTTTCAAAATGCGTTTTGCCCAGTCTTGCACTATCATGTTGCAAAATAACGCTTTTTCTGTTGACAATCGCAGGGCAGATTTAAATAAACTCAGGAGGAAGACGGTAGCTGGAGAATCAGAATAAAGGTATCTACACAAGATGGAGCATGGCAGACTAGCGAGAGTAATGATTAAATGAAAACCGACAGAGAAAAGAAGGGATGTCACGAAGGACATGGGAGATGGAAGCAGAAGAGGATTTACAGACTATGTACCTGTATAGAATCGTACAACCAAAGGAAGAAGGAGAAGCTAGCACATGTAGTTTATTTCCTTAGTAGCTGACCATATAAATATGTAAGCCTAGAGCCCCAAATATTAAAAAGACGGCCCTAAGCTCAGTCTAGAATCTCTTTTAACAACAGTTGATGACACACCAAAATTCTCATTTACGTCAAGGTGCATATTAAAAAGTGAAAATTGTGCCAAAAAAAGTCTCGCTAACATTAAAAAAAAAAAAAAGAAACTAAAATTTAAAATGTTTTTTAAATATTAATTACCATGCAAATCATTTTCAGTCAACCAATTCCATGATTCTTGATCCTCAGTTTCCATCAAATTAATACATTGATGGGTTAACATTTCAAAAACCGGTTTAGAAGACAAATTGTAAGTTTGACACAATTCCAGCGCGCATTTAAATATTCCAACAGTCGCCAACATAACAACAAGTTCTTGAGGAGCTAAAATAAATATTATACATTAAAAAATTTTTTTTGAGTTTTTCCAAATTCTTACTTGTATAATTTGCGACTGAATCTTTATCAATTCGTCCTAATCTTAAACGGGCAAGCGCCAAAGCTAATTCTTTTTTAATTGTAGACAAACTAACCACTTCAAGTTGGTTTACTAATTTTAATTCTTTATACGGCGTATTAGATCCTGCTAATGATGGGATTAACACCGTTTGTTCTTGTAATTCTGGTTCAATAGGGGTTAAAACCCACGCGTGTTTAGATTCGCATAAACTTAAGGCATTTACAGCTGCTAAGTAGCACTTTACTTGTTTTTCTAGAGCCTCAATTGAATTCCATTGATTTAATCTAAATGCTTGTTCATACATTACAGCACCAGCTAAAAAATAAAGGAATATATTTATGTTTTTCCAAAATAGAATCGAGTTAGTTCAAATAATAACCTAATCTTAAATAAGGTATCCCCCTTTTCATTTGATACGAATACAAAAAATCATAATAAATATTATTTACGCCATCAGCAGCTCTAGCTCTCATAAATAAAATACTACAAAATAATTTTTCCAAATTGCAATATGTAAACGACATCAAAACATCTAACTCTTTCTTATCCAATAACGTTTTAACCAAATCTCTTAAGTTATCCTTTTTTCGATCATCGTCTGGATTCGATTGTAAAGCTTTGTAGGCATCCTCATAATGATTTAAAGCCAAATGATGTTTAAACTGAATCGAGTACAAAGTTGCGCGTAAAGGATTTTTTGTTTCTGCCATTGACAAAGCAACATTTGCTAATTCAATAGCGAAATTTCTCGCACCGTAAGCTTCAAATAATTGGATTACTTTTAAGAAGTATCGAATAGCGGTGTTGTTGTTGTTTCTGGCGACGTTCGCGATATGTCTTTGAAGGAATTGTTCCGAATCGATGCCTTTTACGGCTTCTACGAATAAATCGAACGATTTGTGGTGTTCACTTGATGTTAAAAACGATGCTGCCAACAAAAAATTACCTAAAAATTAATTATTATTGGAAAAATTGTAAAAAAAATAATGCAATATTAATTTACGTGATGATTTTGCGTCACACCAATTGTTTAAATATCTTACGTATTGTTGCAACCATACGTGTTGCCCACTTGAGAGTAACCACTCAGAAAATGTTGGATTACCATTTAATGGCCACCTATATAAAAAAAATTTAATTATAAGATAAAATTAATTAAACATTAAATAAATACGTACAAAATGAGGAATAAGTGATTTAAATAACATAAAAGGGAACAGTTCCAAAAAGGTAATGTTTCTTCGTCGACATCTCTTTGGGACATAAGTTTGTGGGCGTTAAAACCTCCAGTTGAACCAACAAATAAGTCCATAAGCAACTTATTTACGTTTAATTTTAAATTGAAAACGGGAGGGAGTTTTAAAGTTACAAGTTTTTGTAAGCTTTGCTCACTGAAACAAAATTAAAATGATATATAACAGTGGTGTCCATAATATCGATCGCAAAGCAGTTTTGAGTCGATCGCCAAGAAAATCATGAATCTGAAATATCTATATCTGGGTCTCAGAACAAGAAAAAAGGAAGGTTACTTTAAACCCTTCGATCGATCTTGGCAAGACATTTATATAAAAAGTCGATTTTGATCAAAAATTAGTGGACACCACTGCTCTAAATCGATTAAACATCAAAATTGTTGATTTTCGAAAATTAACTCAATTATTCATACTTACAGAGCAACATTTGTTTGTATTGGTAAACCCGTTAACCACACAATATTAAAATAAATCCTTGTTAAAAGAACTGTATCAGGGATACAAATCGACCTGACGCCTTCAAAGAAAGTAAAGTTTTCATCGTTATGATGAAGAATTATATGCTGCAAAGCCAATAAATTGCGACAAATTGAATACCTTTAAAAAAGTAAGAATAAAATAATAATAATGTGTATAAAAATAATTAATTTTGTTTACCGAACATGTGCTTGTTGTTTTAAACATTGAGTAACAAAACTAATTCCAAGTTGAGACGCAAATAAATGATCAATAGAAGTAGGTTTTGGGGAAGATTTATCATCGTTATCATTAACTAATTGTTGAACAGTGAGTAATTCCAAAAGTTTATGCATTGAGTTGTATATATCACGACAACTTTGAAGTTTTTGAATTATCAAATAAGTAAACTAAAACCGACCTAAGTAAATAATTAAGTCGAAATGATTAGTTATTAATACCTCTTCTTCACAATCAACCACAACATTAGTAATCAAATCATCCATTACAACATCCGGTGCTCTTAACTGTCCCAATTCGTTCTCAAATGTTTGTTTAAATGACTCATTTAATTGTTGATCTAAATAAATTAAAACTCCAATCAATTCGATTAAATCATCGGTTTCTTCATAAGCTAAAAATAAAATTTTTCTTAAATTGAATTAAAAAGAATTAATTACATACAAATTCCTAATTGTGGATGTAACACAAGTTCATTTCTTGTTATGTAATCGTTACACAAATATAAATGTTCTAAGGTGTCCAAAGGTCTTAAAAAGGAATAAGTTGATTTTTTAAGTAAAATTGCTCCGGATACAGAGGGAAGTAATAAAATTCCTAATGGGCGTAATCCGGTGACGTGATATTGAATGCAACAAGAATAAAATCGAGCCCAACACCTAAAATGAAATAAATTTAAAATTAAAAGTTCTTTATATAATCCTTTAACGCACTTAGATGTTAAATAAAATTAGGAAAAGGTAGTGAGAATACTAATAGAAATTAAAAATTAAATCTAATTCGCTTATTGCAACTATATTAGATACATTTGCGGGTTTCAAGAGTAGTCTAACATCTCCTTTTTACACAAATATAAATATTTAAAATCTCTGAAACAACAGCTGTGTTATCTTTTAACAATAACTCCAAATATTAGGCCTATTATTTCTTTAATATTCTCTCCAACATATCTAGACGGTTAAATGTAAAGTAGTGTTAGTCACGAATTCTGTAATAAATTCAGACAGAAAAATATTGTTATAGAATTATAACGTTCATCCAAATTCAACATACAACTTTTTTATTAACAAAACAAATGACTTACACTAGCATATGGTCACATTCAAGTGTTGTTCAAAGAGAAAAGTTACTATTTACTCTAGAAATATATTTCAAAAGATCTATCACAACCAGCTTCTTAGCTTCCTTTTTTAAATCTAGGCCTGTCTTTTACTGGTCATAGAATAATCACCAAAACGACACACATTTTTTCAGTATGTGTTTATTCAGAAGACTGTAATTAATAAACTAGTTTAATAGTAATATTTTTGTTTTTCCAGATTTTCATCAACCTCAGATTACGATCTTGACTTATACATGTAACATTATACCTATACATACAGAGGGTGTGTCAAATGTCTGGAATATAGCCAATAACTTCGCCATTTGTAGTTTTAAAGAACAATATTTCAAACACAAGTTTCTTTATTAAGCGTGGTGCATTTTTTGGCGATATTTGCTTGTTTGTATTGTTTTTTGTTTCGTTGCTATGGCAACCAACATTGTTATTTTAAATAGGATGCATATGTTTTTTTGCGTACTTTTATAGAGGATAATCTCTCTATATGATAAACATATCAAATCATTTGGTTGTATAAGAAAAAATGTGTTTTCTGAAAATATTAAGTCAGCAATTTACAGCTTTAAATGTCAAAAAAATGACAGATTCAATAAATATGAAAAATTAATGATGTATGGCTACGGTGATACAGATTTAGTGTAGTTTCGTCATTGGTAGCTGTCTTCGGCCATCCAGTTTTTGGAAGGTGCCATATTTGTTTAAACTGTCAATTTTTTGACATTTAAAGCTGTCAACGACATTATTTCGGCGAATAATTTGATTGTAATTTGCTGACTAATACAGGTGGCCCAAAAGTCACGTATTTTCAGAAAACGCGTTTTTTATCGATTTTTTTTTATACAACCATATGATTTGATGTGTTTTCATCGCGTAGAGGGATATATCGTCAATCAAAATATGCAAAAAAAAACATATGCATTCCATTTAAAATAACGATGTTGGTTGCCATAGCAACGAAACAAAAAACAATATAAACAGCAAATATCGCCAAAAAATGCACCACAATTAATAAAGAATTTTTTATTTGAAACATTTTTCTTTAAAATCACAAATGGCGAAGTTATTGGCTATATTCCAGACAATTGACACACCCTGTATAATAGTAAGTTGAGCTAATAACATCCTTGATACAAGGTGCTTTCTAATGCACTTTTCTAGATGAAATATCATAGCATACACAGAATTAATGCTGTAGCCACATTTCTTGTGGTATGTGCACATCTTTTGCATATACAGGTGTCCCGTATCTTCTGGATCAAAGCATTATACGGTTGAAGGATACACTATTCTGAAGCGATTTTTTTAATAAAATTTGTTCGAAATGTTTATAATAACCGCACGGAAACTGTTTAAAGTCGTCCAATAGCAGATCGTAAATCAGACCAAGGCTATAAGACCGTTCATAACTCGTTTCTCACGTGTACACACCAATAGATTCGACACGGAGAGAGAAATAAACTTTTTCCGTGAATCGCTATTGGACGACTTCAACACAAGTTGTTTAATATAATTTGGCAGAAACGCAATCTGAGAACCATATAAGTAGGGATTGCAATCAAGAAGGGTATTTACAATACCGGGATTTCGGGATCAGAATTCTCTATCGAGGGTAATCCCGGGATTTCTGGGCTACATATGCAATTATAAATAAAAAGTGTTCAAGGTGTTTCTAACATTTCAGCTTATTCTAACCATAATACAAGAAATTTTAACCAAAAAAAATCAACCATCGATAGCACTATTTTTAAAGAAATGTCGCAGAACAATCAATTTATCTATTGTTTTATCTCCTAAACGAGATCTAAATTTTGTGTTCCGATTTCACACTTGTTGGTGGAATAGTTTTCAAACATTCAAAAGCGAATTGAAGATTTTTATCCATACTACCGCCATTATTGAATATATTAATTTTCTGGATCTATGTATTAAAGAGTGCAGTCTTAGTTAACTGGACAGGTGGCTTTGTTGTCTTTTCAAACGAAATGGCACACTACAGACTTTTCATCGGCCGATAGTTTGGTCGATCTTTTAATTACGATTAGTAATATCATTAGTATACAGACTGTCCCGTATCTTCCGCGTCAGAGCATTATACGGTTGTAAGATACATTATTCTGAAGCGATCTTTCTAATAAAATTTTTCCGAAATGTTTATAATAACCGCACGGGAACTGTTTAAAGATGTCCAATAGCAGATTCACGAATTCACGGAAAAAGTTTATTTCTCTTTCCGTGTCGAATCTATTGGTGAGCACATGCGAAACTAGTTTAGAACGGCGCGGTGGACCGGCTAGGGGTGAGACCGATTGCCTGAGTGTGATTTACGATCTTCGAAACGTTTCCCTAAGCTTTTGTTTAATCGCTATTGGACGAACTTTAAACAGTTCCTGTGCGGTGATTATAAACATTTCGGAAAAATTTTGTTTAGAAAGATCACTTCAAAATAATGTATCCTACAAACGTGTAATGCTCTGATGCGGAAGATCGGCCAACAATTAAGTTTAATGGGGAATCCGATTCCCTTTCAACTTCGTAGTTTACCAACTAAACTACTTAAGCTACTTAAACAGCACTAGTTTCCATGTGCAGGCGCCCATCCGGTGACTTTTCAGTCAGTAACTGTCTTTGATTTGTATTGCGACATGTCTTTCTCATACTAAAATGTAGCTGATTTCGGAAGAATTGTTCAAAAACATTATTGAAGAAGTGGAGAAGAGGTCAGCGTTATATAAAAAAGTATGAAGGAATACTCGGACGTAGTTGTTCCTGAATTTTACAATATTTCGTATTGTTGATGATGCAATAAGATATTGGAATGATAAAGTTTGAGAACTAGATCCAATTGTCAAATATCTATAAAAGAATATAGGTATCTAATATCTATATTATCAACTACACTGTGGTTTTATAATTTCAGATAACGAGGTTCAAAAACGTTGGATTACCTGCAGACTTGTTTTCGCAGGGAATTGAACGCACAAAAAAAACGAAATCAGGCCAGGCTGCCAGCGTGAGACACAAATATGTTTACTTCGTTAAAATGTTATTTTTATTATCATGCTGTGATAAGTGTGCTACGGAATGCAACTTAGAATCACTTTGCATATGTTGAAGGCGACACCAAAGTGGACCTCTTGCATCCACTTCTATGTCAAACAAATCCATTTTTTTTCCTGGATCCAACGATGTGCAATACATCAACATTTGTTAAGTACTTCTTGCAACAAAAAAATTAAAACACTTTTAAAATTCACTTAACAATGTACTCTGTTTTTACTGAGTAGCCTGCCATGATAAAACAAAAACGCGCATCTGTCAGCAAAAGTAGAAAAAGAATCAAAATGTTTTTCGACTTACAGTATTTATTAACACATCCTTTAGTTTTTTTTTTTTCGTATAAGACTAGTATGTCATAAAGAACAATAAATCATTATAACTCAAACAAAACAAGTTCCTTCAGAATGTCTGTATTTTCTGACACTTGTAAATAAACACGATCTTTTATGTATCCCCAAAACCAAAAATCCAAAGGAATAATGTCAGATGAACGCGCAGGCCAACGAATAGGTCCATATGTACCGATCCATCGTCTATTAAAATCAGATCATTTTGTAATGCAGTTAAACAAAAATTACAAAAATCGCTCCTTCTGATTGGGTCATTTTTTCCTAGTGCCTGTACTTTTTGGGCTATATACGGTCTAAATTTGGGGTTTTATGTTTTTTGTAACATCTAAATTCTCTTAGATTTTTCTGTAGATAGCTAAACTTACGTCGATTTGAAATATTTCTGTTCGGAAAAAGTTCTCTGTAGGGGCGCAATGCCTCACTAGAGTTTTTTCAGCATTCAAAATACAATTATAATATATCAGTAAGTTCATTACAATTCATGATTTGTGGAAATCACGTGAAACTCAGTAATTACTATTAATTACAAGTATGTGTTTTGTTTTATCATGGCAAGCTACTCATTGCCAGGAAAGACAATTTTAAGAAAATATTTAGAATATTTTAATTTTTTTCGCAATAAATCGCATCGTTGGAATCAGAAAAAAACATACTCTATCCAACGACGTGAGAAACAAATATACTTGATTATCGCAAGATATCATAAATGGCCCTGGAAAAATTTTATTTGTAGCCTAAAACGTAGTAGTCATGATACCATCTCATTTGGTACTTGGTTCAAGAAAATCGGAATATAAATAACAGTTACAGCTTGGGACGTTTTTATCTAACATCCTGTATAATAAAAAAAGTTCAATATGAATCAATTATCAGTTAAAGTTGGTGCTACTTGATATGGTATTAATTTTATGACGCACTATTGGCCCCTCAATAAACAAAAATTGCAACCAAATAATAGAAATACATATTATTATATGCATATTAATGTTAAATCAATATGTTTGATGGTATGTATATCAAAAATTAGTGCGTTAAAGGTTTTCAATAATATTAAAATATAATAATACTATACCATTGGGTACAATCTAAATAATCATCATCTGTTACTTCAGATTGTTGTAATTCTTGTTGAATATCGTTTTCAACTGCAATATTAACTTGTTGCTTTAAAATATTAGCTGATAAACTGATGTCGCTTATAACTGATGATTTTGTATAAATCTTAAAAAGAAAATTCGTTTAAAAAAATTATTATCATTAAAAAAATTACTTACACTAAGTGCTTTAGAAATAATATTTAATGAGAACCTTCCCGGATGGAAAATATATTGCATGTAAGTTTCTTTTGGGTCTAAATTTGAATCAGCTTTGAGTTCACTTGGATCAGGGATTGGTTCTAGAGGAATCGGTACCCAGTGAGAACCTTTATCTGAATTTGTGGCAAGTGTAGCACTGTAAACGCTGCAATCGCCGTCTTCTCCACGCCAAACAGACCAAATTCTAGATGATGTTAATGAAAAATCTACCAAGTCAACCTAAAAAAAAATTATAATAAAATAAAATAAAAATTATGATTTTATTGAGAATATAAGATTATAACTTACACCTGGAGAAAATAATGTACTAATTTTTATAAGTTTAAATTGATTTCCGCTAATATCTGGCTGCATAATGTGAAATTGACACTCTGGAGAGAAATTAAGTACAACCGCTAAAATAAATTCTAATTCATTACCACCAACAGCTTTTCTTAAAATATGATTTTGACCTGTTAATAAAAATATTTTTTTATAAATCTTATATTTAATATTTATTAATTTATTTACTTCCATGTGAAAGATTTTGCCCTGATACAGTTTCAGATAAAATATCGCTAACAGAAATACATTGTCCTTTGCTACAAGACCACACTCGGAGATGACCACTTTTAGATAATGTAAAAGCGTACGTTTCAAGACCGATTGTATGCAAAACCATACTAACAACAACATTTCCATCACTACTGCGAGATCTAAAAATTAAAAACTCAAAAAATAATTTCGAGAAACATTTATTATTAATATTAGTACTAATTACCTAAATTTTTCTGCCAAACCATACAAAAACCTCGGAACAATCGACTCAGATTTTAACTCAATACATTCACAACCACCAAATTCATTGTATTTAATCAAAAGAACTTCTCCGGTTGGATAAGCAAAAAGAAAGTAGGCTTCATTTTTAGCAGCCGAATACCAAGATGTTGAACAATGTGGTAAATGAGAACCTACAAATTTTAAGTATTATTTAAAATAAAAATAATTAGATATAATTTTTATACCAGCCCCACTTGGATTGGTTATAATGTGAAATGAAGCAGGATTTTTCGCCTGCGCAGCCGATGCATCAGCGAAAATTGATGGCAAAACAAAATCGGGATGAAACCCGTAATAATCACCCTGACGCGATTTTGTTGGATGAGGAAATATTATACGATGAACGCTACAAACTGTTGGAACTAAAATTATTACGTTCGTGTGAGTTTCGTGGATTGTTATTCCATCCAAAATCGGTGTATCAACAAATTTGTAACGTATTGAATTGTCGGAAAGGTTTGTGTCTAAGCTTTGTTCCGTTAATTCCAAGACATCATGACTTATTCTCCTACAAAATAACATAAATGATTAATGTATACCTTTGACGTCATGTGTACATGTCTCCAGTGTGAACCCCGAAGTGACAACTAAAGAGCATACAACAGTCAAGGAGCGGATTTCAAGCCGTCCCAGGATTCTCCTGCTTGGTGATAGCCAAGGAAGAACCATGTCTAACGGGCTGAGTGCGCTTTTTGATAAAAAATATGATATATTGTCTATTTTTAAACCTAATGTGTGTGATATCTTAAGGGATGCTGATAAGTTAACAAAGGATTTCACACTGCATGACTTCCTGATTGTTTTAGGTGGAACAAATGACATCCTGCAGAGTAAAATAATATATAATAATAATTTTAAAAAAATATTGAGCCGGCTGTCACATACTAATGTAATACTATACTCTATTTTTTAATTCGGAGAGTGTTTTCAAATTGAAGCGCCAAAGAGGGATTGCTATTGGTCAGTTTTAAGCAAAATTTACACTAGGAAAATTCGAGATGTTGCCGACCGCCTAGAAACATTCGGGTTTAGCCGCACGTCTCTCAGTATGGCTAACTCAATCTGGAGACTTTGTTGGAGCTGCGATAAACGGTACTAGCAAAATAACGAAATTGTTGTCAAAGTTTTATATGCAGGTGTTTATATTGGAACGAGAGCTGCGATAAACGATAAGAGCTGTAATGAGAGCAGCGCAAAATGAATTGAAAATGATTTGTCAGAAAAAATCTGTTTGGTGATTTTCATCTTTTTGGTCCCGCAAGGGAGATCTAACAAAAATTTCACTCATTAAACAGTCGATATCCATGCCGACCACACCTGATAATAGCAAAGAAAACAGGGAATACAATTAGCCTCGCTCTTATCGTTAGTCGGCTGTCAAGTGTGTAACAACGTGTCGCTCCAATATAAACACCTGCATATAAAATTATGACAACAATGTCGTTGTTTTGCTGGTATCGTTTATCGCAGCTCCAACGTAAACGCACCCTTATTAAGCAGCTACACAAAGCAGCGCGAATGAGGTTTGTTCTGGATCACAGAGATTGGCAACTTCGTCACTGGTGAACGCTACGCAGCCGCTACTGTACAGGAAGTGGGTAGATTTGGTCGGGAATCTGTTATGGTTTGGGCTAGAATCAGTATAGACAACAGAACTGATTTTGTTGTCGTTTCTGGTAGACTAAATGCTATGAATTACATCGAAAACATCTTGGAGGACCAAATGGTACCTGCTGCATATGGTGTCGGTTAAAATTTCATCCTAATGTAGGACAATACAAAGCCACATACCGCCGGCATCACCAGAAACTTTTTGCAAGAACGTGGAATTCAGGTCATGGAATGGCCGACGTTAAATTCTGAACTGAATCCTATTGAACACCTATGGGATTAGCTTGACCGACGTGTTCGCAAGCGCCCTAATCCACCACCAACCATACAGGAACTGACAAGCCCTGATTGAGGAATGGGAAAGCATACCTGAAGAATCTCTTTGCAGACCAGTGCGAAGCATGCCACGCAGGTGTGAGGAAGTAATTCGTGCTGATGGAGGGCATACACGGTATTAAACCTCATCAATCCACAGAAAACTCGACTTTCATTGATACTATGTGTTATTCCACTTAGTTTTGCGTTATTAATTTACATTTTTAAGTGTAACTTAGAAGTAACTAAGAGTTGTAACATTGTTTTTGTAATTTTCTTTAGTTAAATATATGCCATTGAAGTAAACCAAATTTGATTTGCCTAGAACTATTATTTAAAAAGTTACAAATTTCGAAAAAAGTGTTCTCCTAATTTTTTTGAGCAGTGTATAAGCACCTGATACCAATGAACTCTAATTAGGTATTTTTCTGAAAGATAATTAGGAAATAAGCTCCACATAAGCATTTTTGATCAAAATATCAAATAAAATCATAGTTTACATTTTTGTGGTTAATTGATAATATGACCTTATTTGCAACATGATGTTCATGTCATGGGCAATGTGGGTTACAGGGATGACTGCAAATTTCTATTACTTTAATTAAAAACTCAGGATTCTTATGATTCCTTGTGAGTTTATACTTGAGTCTATACTTTATGTGAACAGAAACAAGTCAGCATACCAAGTTCAACCTGAGGTCTATGGATACAGGACTAGGGGTAGGCACAACGTCAGGCCAAACTGCTGCCATTTGAATATGTCACAACTGGGACCGGAATTTACATCCCAACAGTTGTTCAATCAATTGCCTCTTAACACCCAATGTTTATCAAAAGCCTTAAAAAACGCCTTAAGCCTTTTTTTGATTTGCAATGCATTCTATAGCGTTCAGGACTTTTTAAATGTAGAATGTGTTATTTAATTGTCTATGTTAAGGTACAAATAAGTGTAGGAAAGATGTTAAGTGTATAATGTTATTTATTTTTGTTTTTCTTTTCTTCCTTTTATTTTTTGTAATGACAGACGAGTGCAAGAGAATTGTATATTCTTAGAAACACAATAAAGTATTTTGTAGATGAAGTAATTGAGGTTTACTGAAAACTTACCAATAAATAAAACGGTTTCTTGTGCAAGATTTCGTTGAATCAGCATAACAATAACCATTTGATCTCTCCGCTACCTTTATATCTTGCAATGTACTTTGTCGCCCACCTAAATTAAAGTAAACGATTAAATTTTTGCTTAATGTAATGAATATTTGTTATAAAATAATCTTATACAACTAAAACTGTTGTAATTCGATTCAAAATTTGTGATTATGTGAGGTTATGTTTACTACGCTACCCGTATTAAGAGTTATTTCTCTCCACTTTTCTACTATCGTTTGATCTGGGATTACTTCCGTGTAACTAAAATGATAATCACTCATTCTTGCCGCCGAACTGAACAATAACACAAAGAAAACCGGCAAAATTTAAAAGAAAACGATGTATTTTAAAACACTTGTATCAGCTTGGTTAACATAAACTTGCGCCATCTATGAGATCGTATAAGTAATTAAAATTTTACATATTCTTAATCATTTTTAAAAATTTAAATTTAATTTAATTATAAATTCATAAGTAATAAAGATTTTAATTTAACTTAATAAACTTAAATAACATAAGCATTAATAATTCTTATTTTATAATTAATCATTTGATAGATTAGCATTTAATAGAATATAAAAATTTCTTGTCACTTGTCAACTGTCACATTTCAGTGTACTGTCATTTACCTGCGGAAATTTTTACTAAATAAAAATGGGTAACGCAATGGGTTATACGATAGACAATGCTTATAACTTAAAGTATCATCCCGACGTAACACCTCATCCGCTGAAAGAATCGCGATTTGATCCACAGGAAGGCTTCCAAGGCACCCGCAAACGGAGATGTACGTTTATGTAATATTTGAGGTTACGTTGATTTACTAAACTAGTACATTTTTTATTAGCCGTAAATGCAACGAAAGAGGACATGCTTTCAGCTAAAATTCCCCCTCAAAACAGAGATTACTGTGTGGATTATTTATTGAAATTTCAAACTTGTCGTAAGGATAATTTTCCATGGGTTGTTGCTTGCGAACACGAAAAACATGAATATTTACATTGCCAACATGAAGAGTAGGTGTAATTTATTGATAAGAATCGGATTTTTAATATATTTTTATTTCAGTTTTGTCCTTAGAATGAAAGAATTTGAACGTGAGCGACGATTAATGGTCAGAGAAAAGCAACGTTCAGGATAAATACATAATAAAGTGGTTTATTTGGATACAAATAATCACTAGAAGTTGTTTAGTAATTGTATATATTTAAATAAATTATCAAAAAGTATTTGAAAATTTATAATTAATTAAAAAGACAACTCGTTTTGAACTTGTAAAGCGCAATATTTTTTGCTTCACTTCAACGTCAGTTAACCCAGTTTGACTTAAAATTTTTATCTTTTCTTTAAATTTTTCATTCTCTAATAAGTTTGACTTTACTTGTTGTCTATGAGCTAAAGGTCCATAAGAAATCAGCGTTCCTAAAGCTACTAATATACAAAATTGCGCTTCTGGATCATTCACTGACACAACTAGTGATGGAACAGATAGTGATTTTGCGAAAAGCCGAATATTCGGCATCACCTTCAATTGAATATCTGGTTATATAGCCATTATGGTTATAATTTCTGAAGTGATACCCTAAATTACCACATTATTGAGAAATTTGAATAAAAATGAAATTAATAAGAAAGCTGATAAGATATGTATGTCAGATACAAAATGAACTCCTTTGATGCTTTTTTAAAATAATGAACCTAAAAACTATAAACCCCATTCCTTTTAACTCTATAACAGCATCTAGTAAAAGAATTTTTCAGAAATATAACATTAATCTTGCCTTTTCTAATAATACAACCTTAATAAGGGTACTATCTAATTATCACTTTAATAATTATAACATTAATAGGGCAAACTGGCCGAAAATTGTAAAATAGAATAATGGAACATAAAATAAAACCAATTCTAATGTTTTTAAACATAAAATTGAAACAGGACACGAGATCGATTTTGAAAATGTAAAATTGTTGCATAGATGTAACAAAGGTTTTAAATTAGATCTTTTGGAAGCTCTGGAAATTAACAAATATACTAAAAACAACCCTTCTCAATGACCAGTTGGATATTAAATTTACACCTTTGTTTAGTTACCTAAGTAAAATATAAGTATAATTTTTATCTTTTCGATTTTGTCGATTAATTTGTTTAAAGAATTTTTGTAATTGTGATTTCTTGGTCATGTAGATTCGGCTGATGATGACCTTATAAATTAGGTTGAAACCGGCACAAAGGAATTTAATAAAAATATAGCAAGAAAGAAGTTTAATCATACATCGTATTGTTTTATTTAATTTTGAAAATTATCGATGAAAATTGCAACATCGAATTTTATCAAAACTTCAAATATTGTTATCTCAAAAACTAAATGTTATTTTGCAAAACGGGTTGGTTCATTGGAAAGAGGACACTTTTATTAACACTTTGGGAAGTTTTCAAACTCATATTCCAAGAAATGAATTTTATACGAATTTTTAAAACTTAATCGACGAAAATTGCTAAATTCGAAAAAATTGTCGATCGTTTCAAAAGCTTATTTCTCAAGAACTGGATGTGATTTTTCAAAACGGCTTTTTGCATTAAAAAGAGGATACTTTAATTAATAATTGGTGATATTTCCACAAGGATCCTTTTTCTGAAACCTGGAACCTATTTCTAGTAAAATGTTTGCTAACAAATAAAGTCCTAATTCGTCTTGTTTTTTATGGCTAATAGATTTCATTTCAATCATAAAAAGAGATTTTCAAGAGTTTGTTGATTAATTACCTCGATATTTTAGAATCGGATTTTTAATATATTTTTATTTCAGTTTTATCCTTAGAATGAAAAAATTTGAACGTGAGCGTCGGTTAATGATCAGAGAAAAGCAAAGTTTAGGATAAATACATAATAAAGTGGTTTATTTGGATACAAATAATCACTAGAACTTGTTTAGTAATTGTATATATTTAAATAAATTATCAAAAAGTATTTGAAATTTTATAATTAATTAAAAAGACAACTCGTTTTGAACTTGTAAAGCGCAATTTTTTCGCTTCACTTCAACATCAGTTAACCCGGTTTGACTTAAAATTTTAATCTTTTCTTTAAATTTTTCATTCTCCAATACGTTTGACTTTACTTGCTGTCTATGAGCCAAAGGTCCGTAAGAAATCAGCGTTCCTAACGCAACTAATATACGAAATTGCGCTTCTGGATCATTCACTGACGCAACCATTTCTGGTAAAATATTTGCTAATAAATAAAGTCCTATTTCGTCTTGTTTTTTATGGCTCAGTATTGTCGAATTTAATAATAATGTTGCTATTCCAACCTAAAAGATTTCATTTCAATCAAAGTTCAAGATTTTTGTTGATTAATTACCTCAATATTTTTATTTGACGAACATAATCCAACTATATCTTCGATTATTTCAACCCTATTTTTAAACATAAGCTCTTCACCGGATTTATAACAAAAGAAGTTGCTTAAAGTTCTTAAAGATACCACGACGTTATTTTGAACCTTACAATCATTTCCAATGAAAGGTTTTAATTTTTCGATTATTTCCCCATCGTTTCGTTCGGAGATAATTTTATTATTTTCCTCTAATTTCATCGCCAATCTAATTATATCAATTACAGGAAATACTATGTCTAAAAAAATTCGAGAATTATTTCATACCTTTATAATGAAATTCCTCTTACCTTCTGGCCAATTTAACAACCTAAATAAATTATCATAACATTTTAAATCCGATCGATGTTGTTTGCATAATTTCACCACATCTTCTAAATCAGCTTCTTCCATCTGATTGTTACTATCGCCGACTTTTTGGTTAAACTCTTTTAATTTCTTTAAAATCACCTGAGGGTCGCCCATATCGAATGTGCGATAATCCATTAATGGAAAAAATTTCGATAACTGATTTGTGACTGAGGTGTAACTTGCACTTCCTGTAAAAGGATCTGTATTTGCACCATAAGTTGCTGTTGATGGCTTCTTTGTGGATGAAGTTGCTGTTCCCGTTCCAGTTGAATAACTACTAGCTCCTAAATAATAATTTAACAATAACACAGGGCAACACTGATTCTGCAGCATGAGGTTTATTGGTCAAGTTTGGTCTCATGAATACGAAAATAATAATATTTTTGTTGAATTGACTCTACTTTTTAAGATAACGTTTATTTTATTATTATCAAATGATTTCACAGCACATCACACTCCTAATATAACGGAAAGAATAACCAAACATTTACTTAAAGATTTATTAGATAAATTTAACATGATTGAGAAAAGACTCGAAAAACTAGAAAGGATTTACACTAGACCTGCTTCACTATCCTGCAATGCTGCAAGAACAATTGCAACTTTCTTATCATTACAGAAGATTGCTATTTTACTCATTAAAGGAACATATCTAACAAAACATGCCACGTCAACCACCCCAGCAATAAAGACTACACGAAGAAGTCCCCCAAAAGGAGGAAATACAGATGTGTGTAGTTGGTGTGAACTAGGGATGTTACGGATCTTCGCTTCGACTCCCAAAGGTCGGAACTTCCGATTGATTTTACACCTCCGACTTCGGCTCCGATAATTTTGATTCGGAGTTATAACGAAGATCGAAATGTAGCAGTGTATAAAATTCGACGTGTCTCGCAGGCTAGCAAATAGAACCTTCATTACCAATGAAACTAAATTAACGAAATAATGCTTTTAACGAAATAATTTAAATACTTTAACCTAAAGTAATTTTGATTACGTTATAAACTCTTTGGCAGCACTGTGCGTCTACATTAACGTTTGCTTGTTATTTCGTTTTCTTTTTCGATCGATTTCGGGGAATCCCGCTCGCGTGTATTGTTCAGTTGTATTTTGTTTTTTCATTTGTGTGTTAGTATAAGCTCGTCGCTCATCGACCCTTTAAAGATTCTAAATAATAACTTGTGAGTTAAGTATTGTTGATGTGATAGTTTTTTATAGACTGAATAATGAAGCCTAAAACGAGTGTTGTATGGAACTACTTCTATGAAGTAGACGCAAATTCGGCAATGTGTAAGATATGTAAAAAAACCTATTCAAGAAAAGGAGGTACAACTACTTCGTTAAAAGGTCATTTAAAGTCGTTGCATATTACTGAATACGAAGAATGCATTAAGCTTTGAAACTGAAAAAAAGCAGCCCGCGACTGCATCCCCATTTCAAGAAGCTAAAAATCAAATGACTCTCCAAGACGCTTTGATGAAAAATCAAAAATGGGCTTCTTCAAATCCTAAATCAGTGGAAATTGATAATTTGATCTCTCAGATGATTGCTCTGCAGGACCTTCCATTCAATTTTGTAGAAGATGTCGGATTTCGACGACTGTTGCAATTCATCGTGCCGAATTATCAGTTAAGGGGAAGACAGTTTTTTACGTCATTTATTTGTGATGAGTTGTATCCTAAGCTGGCCAGTAAGGTAGTGGATTTGTTGAAAACTTTTACAAAAATTTCATTTACCACCGATGTTTGGGTGAACCCAGTTCTAATGTTTCCTTGTTGAGTTTGACAGCTCATGGCATAACTGAAGATTTTAAGAGAATAAAACTTGTTTTGAAATGCCACCCTTTTGATGGCCGACATACAGGAGATGTAATTCAGGAAAAATTTAAAAAGATACTTCAGGAATGGCAAATAACATCTGAAAATCCACTGTTTCATTCGTGATTGTGTGTCAAATATGATACGTGCAATGAGGCTAGCTGATATCTCGGATGTCAGTTGTACCGTACATCAATTACAACTTTGTGTGAAAACTATGTTAGATTCTGATGAAGAAATCAAAAATTTGATAGCGAAATGCAAAAAAATTTGTACGCGTTTTAATCATTCTCAAATTGCTCAAACGGAACTAAACAAAATACAAACAGAACAACTCAACCAAACGGCTTTAGGCGTTGTACAGGAGTGTAGTACGCGGTAAAAAGCTTACATAATTTAATTTAATTGAGAATTAAATTCCATATTCTTTTACTTTTATTTACAGGTGGAATAGCACTTTCAACATGCTGGAACGAATGATTAAAATAAAGGATTCGTTGTGCCTTTATGCTGGTAAACATAGTATCCCACAAATATCCCCTGCAGAATGGCTGTAACAAATTAGTCTATTCTTCAACCATTTGAAGAGGTTACCAGAAACATGAGTGATAGTAATACTAGCATTTCATCGGTAATTCCACTTATACACATTCTAAAACATACATTGAAACTGGAAGACTGTAAACCAGATACCTCTACAACATTTAAGTCCGCAATCAAATGTACCATTGAACAATTGAATTCAAGATTTGATGACCTTTCCTTTAATAACTTCTTTGCAATAGCAACATATTTAGATCCTCTTTATAAATCAAATCTTTTTAATGAAGTGACTAAAGAAAATATTGAGTCTGAATTGTTGTGTTTGTTAGACAGCATGGATAACACTGCAGCAAATCAAGCGGGAGACAATAATGCTGATGCTCCTGCAAAAAAACGAGCAAGGTTCGAATCGCCATCAGCGGATGTACATAACAATAATGTTCAGTCAATTTTATCAAATATATTGATGAGTAGCGATGATGATGATGATAACACCGCAAAGGATAGCCAATCGGTTGACAAATTCATCATATGGAAGACCTTAGTTAATGAGTACAACAAAAAAAATGTATTCCTGTCAGTGACGATCCCTTGTTATGGTGGAGAGTAAATACAAAATTTCAAACATTGCACTCAATTGCTCGCCAATATTTATCGTGTCCTTCAGGGTCAGTGGCAAGTGAGCAACTTTTTAGTGGCGCCGGTCTCATTTATGATCCATTGAGAAATCGATTGAAGGGAGAGAAAGCTGTCAAGCTTTTGTTTATTAAATACAATTTGCTACTTTTAGAGTCACTTCATTTGATTTAAATTAAATTTAACACTATTAAGATATTTTCCTATTGTTGCGTACCTACGTACGAGTGTGTGTGTAATATCTAATTAATATTTTAAGTATTGATTAAAGAGACTGATTGCTGTATTATGTTTCTATCATGTTATTAGGGTTACTCTTAACAGTTAACTATCACATCTGTCTTGTACTCCGCTTCCGACTACTGCTCCGATTCCTACTCCGATAAATCAAATCTAAAAACTCCGATTCCAACTCCGGTTCCGGTAAACTCACCTCCGTAACATCCCTAGTGTGAACTAATGGTTTAATAATCAAAATATGACAGTTGCAGCAGCATATTTTCCGCCGAGGCACAACAACAAGAAAGAAGATTATAAAAGCTACTTAGGTACACCATTTTGGAAACAAATTTTTCTTGGGTGACGATTTTAATGCAAAAAACACAGAATGGGATTCAGAAATCACAACTACAAAAGGAAACGAACTACTGAAAGCCATTCAAGAGATTGTAGCCAATTATCATTCACGAGGAAACCCAACCTATTGGCCTACTGATGCGGATAAGGGACTAAATTTATTGGACTTGTTTATATCAAAGAAATTTTCACCCAATTTTCTGGAAGTGCATGATAACTACGACCTAGCTTCGGATCATACAGCAGTGGTACTGATGGTACTGTAACTTGAAGGAAAAATACGGTTGAGCATCAACTGGAAGATGAAGTGGAAAACTGTGTATGAAATATTCAGCGTGCAGAATGGAATAACACAAAAGAATTGAAACGTAAAACTGCTGGCAACAATTACCCTCAAGAAATTAGAAAACTAGTTGCAGAAAAAAGAAAAGCTAGAAGAACATGGCATCAGACAAGACATCCATTCGATAAAAGTAGATTCAATAATCTAACACAGCAATTAAAACGAGAAATAAAGAAGATAAAGGAAGAAATACTTTACTGAGTATTGAAAGCTCAAACGTCCTATTACTCAAAATCCACCTCTCAGAACTGATAATGGAACGTGGGCAAGAACTAAAAAACTTTCCAGCCAAATGATATAAGCTCCGATTGTGAAGAGAACAAAGAATGAACGTATAAAACATGAAACGCTAAATAAAGTTGCTAAAGAAATTAGGAAGAATATAAGTGCAAAGAAAACACCAGGTTTTAACTTGATTACAGGAGAAGTCTTAAAAAACCTCCCTAGAAAAGCAATTTTAAAACTAATGTATTTAATAAATGTAACGTTTGGTTTACGACACGTACCTAATATGTGGAAGATTGCAGAGGTAATTATGATATCTAAGTCAAAACAATCACCATATGATGTGGCTTCATACAGATAAATCTCGTTGCTTCCAATAATCTCAAAACTCTTTGAAAAACTGTTCCTTAAAAGACTTAAACTATTAAAAGAACAAAATCAACTTATTCCCGAGTATCAATTGGGATTTAGAAAAAAACATAGTAAAAAATTGATCAAGTACACAGAATATCTGATCTAATTATATGATAAATTTGCTCTGCTATATTTGTTGATGTAGCCCTATATAATATGTAAAATTAGTAAATTATTGCCAAAACAGTATGTGGATCTTATATTACAGACCGATTATTTCGAGTCAAATACGAAAACGAATTTACTGATTTAAAAGAGATAAAAGCTGGTGTTCCACAAGGTAGTGTATAGCAGGACAGGATTGGCCCAAGAATCCTGTCCTGCTATACAAAAACGATCTGCCAGAGGTCAATCGTATATCAATAGCAAAATTCGATACAGCCATGATGGTTGTGGGTGATAATATTCAAGAGGCTACAAACAAACTGCAAAATGGTGTCCATATGTTGTCCACATTGACAAGAAAATGGAAAATTAAAATTAATGAAGGCAAGTCCGTTGATATTAACTTTACAAACAAGTATTAGTTGATTTACCACCAATCACAATTAATAATAACATCATTCCAGATGCATACCTCATTCAACAAAATATCTCGGTACACACTGAGATAAAAAAACTCACCTGGGGGGTACATATAAAGAAAAAACTGGAAGAACTGCGAATAAGAAACAGGCAATATAGACTCGTGAATTGGAAGACAAACAAAGTTATCAATAGACAATAAAATACTAATATCCTCAAACCCGTATGGTTGTAGGGGATACAACTATAGGGATGTGCCAAAAAATGCCATTTTGAAACCATACAAAGATTCCAAAATAAAATCTTGAGAAACATCGCGAATTCGCCATGGTATGTTGGGAACAGAGGTATCCTTAAGGATCTTGAGATGATAATCTCGAGCACAAAAACATAAATCTAGATTTAACAACCACGTTAATCCGAGTGTGTCTCTTTTCTTTGAAAATGAAAACGTCCAACCAACATTAAAAAGGACTAAGCCATTTGATTTTGCCTAGTGAGTAACAGTGGTAAATAGTGAAAAAAGTAGTATAATTTAATAGTGTCTTCTGAAAACCAATGGGCAACCAGTAGATTAGTAACTTTAGTGTTTAGTTTTTAAGAATTTAATATAGATAAACTAATGGTTGGTCAATGATGAACAGTTTTAGTGTAAAAAAAAAATATTTCAAAGAAACAAAGTGCTATAAATGACACAAAAAATAATAAAATTAATCATAAAAAAATAAAGACATATCAATAAGAGTTAATAAGAGTTTCTATGGTGTTTTTGGTCCAGACAGTTTCCTTGCAACTTCCAGCAGGAAGCTTCATCGATAACCTTGATGTACTGGTGGAATCATTTCCGTTGTTCTTCGCTATAATCACCGCAAATAATGTTATTTGATACTCATATTAGCTCCTAATTTTCTCAAATATTAACATTTTGTCTACTACTTCGGAATATTCTTCAGCTTTATGATTCCCCAAAAAATTTTTGACAACTGATACAAAGATTGTTAATCCTTCCAATTCAACTTAAGTCAAATCTCTGTCGTAGGACAGAGATTGGACGGTAGTTATTCAGGTCGTTGGGATTTCCAGGTTTTTGCATTGGTATAATTCTCTCGTATTTTAGTTCTTCTGGAAAAATTCCCTCTTTGATACATTTATTGAAAACGTCTGTTAATTGTTTAGAAACACAAGTTATTACTTCTTTTAAGAGTTTTATTGATAATCCATATATATCCATGGTAATCGTTTTTTTCAGGTCTTTTACTATTTGTAGCAGTTCCTCTTCTTTTAAGCACATAATCTGATCAAATGATGTATTTGTTTGTTTCTATTCTATAGTAGAAATGAATTTGTATTGGGCGAATTGTTGCTAGAGTCTAATTGTCTGCAGTTTACAAATGAGTCATTCAAAATGTTTATGTCTAAGTTAGAGAACTTTTGCGATTTATTTTCACCTTTTCCGCATTCATTTTTTAAAAGTTTCCAAGCGGCTGCGACCTTATTCTCAAAACTTTGAATAAATCTACCATTTGTTTCTTTTTTAGCCACATCTACTTCTACTCTATACTTATTTTTCAAATTATTGTAGACCTCGTGGTCTGAGGTCTTGAGTATACTTTTTGTAACAATAACGTTCAATAAATTTAATAATATAATCAATTGGGATTTTGTAACACTGAAAAATTATGCATAAGGTGCTATTCGTTAAAATCGTGGGCAACGATAAGTATTTGTCACGTTATACTTCGAAAAAGACACGTTAATGAGGGAACATTAGTAAAAAAAAAACCTGTATTTTTTATAAAACGGTTTATCATGAAAACCAGAGTCAATTCAAAGGAAATAATGAATAGGCTGAGTACTTCATTATTATATATATCTAAATTAACTCCTAAACTTATGCTGCAGAAAAAAAAATTTTTTGTACCCCTATAATTATTTAAAAAAAGATTTAAGAGTTTACCTGTAAATGGATCTACGTTTGATCCGCTTTGTCCAAACCCTCCAGAAGCACTAGCTGGTGTATATCTTGAACCACCAGTAAATGGATCTACATAATCGGCATTAGCAGTTGGTTGATCGGTAGTGCTATTTTTCAAAATAAAATCTACAACCTTTTATTTTTATTAGAGTAATTATTTATTTAAAATCTCTGAATCTTCAAAAATTCATACCTGATCAAGATATATAGCCGGTAAATTGTATTTTGAAAGGAACATATGTGCGGCTGTGTATGGATCGTCTCCCTTGTTATAAGGAAGTTTTAGTGGAGGTTTTCCATCTTCAACATCGACGGAAAATACAAAATCGTAAGCCTGAAGTTAAAAAGTTATTATTAAATTATTACTTTCTCGCATATATGAAATATATAAAGAGTATGATTTAAAAAAGACAAATATTGCAGAAAAAATATTAATAATCGAATAGTGATTTACATAAAAATCACTATTATGAGGTGCAATTGTAAAGAAACTGTTATTTCAAAAGTTAATCAGATGGCCGAAAAAACCATTTAATGGAGGCCCCAGACAACAAGTCGAGATAACCGCAGCGGAGAAATTGGCTACATTTGTCATCAAACAGAGAGACATGGAAAAATATGGAGAAGGCCTACATCCAGTAGTCTGAGGATATCAGAAAAGATGTAAGATAGAAGAGGGAGCCACCAAAAAGTCAATATCAAGCGGAAGAAGAGGAACTGAATACAATTCCATATGGACACGTTTTATCATTACAACTTTATAGACAAACAACCACACGTTTTCGGCGTCGGCCTTTGGATTTGAATTTTGGATTTACCTGATCTGGAAGTAACTTCCAGATTCCCAAATGTATTGTATGTGGAGAACTATTTGCAAATAGTGTAATGGTTCCTGCGAAATTAAAACGTCATTTTTTTCAAAACATGAGGAGTATTTTAAAAGACTATTAGAAGCAAATAAAGAACAAGCAAAACTTTTCAGAAGACAGTTACAGTTTCCTACAAGGCCCAAATAGCGTCGAAAAAAGTAGCAGTAGAAAGCAGAAACTTTTATTTTACCTGCGTGTTTGGAAATTGTAAAGATTATGTTTGGCCCTGAGGCACAGAAAGAAATTGCAACAATTCCTCTTTCGGATGATACAGTCAAGAGAAGAATTGAAGATATGTCACAAGATATCTATATTTATCTATAAAAATAAGCTTCTACTAAATTAGCATCCGGAAGAAGTTTTGCGTTGCAGATTGGCAAATCTACTGATATAAGTGGCAAAGGTAATAGGATTTGTTCGTTTCATCGATGAACATGAAATAATAAATCAGTTTTTACCGGTGTGAAGACAGCAGTAAAAGATAGCAGTAAAAATTTCCGATGAAACCCGAACGCTCATAGACGTCCGTAATACCGGACACACGGGGGCTCAATTTTTTCGAACAAAAAAACATTACATTATCAACTTAAGAAGTTAATTACAGTATATTAAAAGTAATTAATATATTTATCACTAATATCAAGGTACAATCAGCAATTTTAATTAAAATAATTGGCTCCAGCTCCCTTATTGGTTCGAAGATCCGCACCAAACTTTATATACGCCTTCTAGACATGATAAGAAATATATTTATCGAAAGAAATTCCACTTGCAAAGGGTCCGCGGGGGTGAACTACCCCGCAGTAGATTATAATTTGCTCTACCGCCTTTATTCGGTCAAAGATCCGAACCAAACTTTACAGAAGTGATCTAGACTACATTAGACTCAAATATCCGTTAACAATTTCCACTTGCATAGGGACCGCGGGGGTGAACTACCTACCAGTAGATTTTAATTACCCCTACCGCCCTTATTCGGTCGAAGATCCGAACCAAACTTTACACAAGTGATCTAGACTACCTTAGAATCAAATATCCGTTNTTTTGTTCGAAAAAATTGAGCCCCCGTCTGTCCGGTATTACGGACGTCTATGGGCGTTCGGGTATCATCGGAAATTTTTACTGCTATCTTTTACTGCTGTCTTCACACCGGTTCAGTTTTTGTGCTGCAGAGAACTGACTGGACACGCAACAGGACAAGATATAAATGACAGCAGAGTTGCCGTGGCTTTGGCCGGATATTAAAAACCTATAACTTAGTACTCCACCATTTACAGCAATTAGTATCTCTTTTAGGTGTTGGAGGTAATCTGCAGATAATAATCAAGTTCAACCCCAATAGAACTTTTTTCATTGAATACAACTTTATTTATCATTAGCAACTTCAATGTAACAATCCCAATACGCTATATAAAATCTCTTGTTGCAGTTTCGTCTAGTTTTCTTCTCTTCGCTTGTAATTCATCATCACATTCATTACCAACAGAACTGTCGCTCTTATCACTTTCGATTATTAATTAAGTATCCTCTTGTTAACGCAAAAAGCCGTTTTGAAAAGTCACTTTCAGTTCTTTAGAAATAAATTTTCGAAATGATTGACAATTTTTTCGAATTTTGCAATTTCCACCGATTAAATTTTAATAATTCGTATAAAATCCATTTCTTAGAATATGAGTACGAAAATTTCCCAAAATGTTAATAAACGTGTCCTCTTTCCAATGAACCGACGCGTTTTGAAAAATAACTTTTAGTTTTTGAGAAAACAATATTTGAAGTTCTGATACAATTTTCGATGTTGCAATTTTCATCGATAATTTTCAAAATTGGCTATAAAACTCATTTCTTGAAGGATCCTTGTGGAAATATCACCAATTATTAATTAAAATATCCTCTTTTTAATACAACAAGCAGCTTTGAAAAATCGCTTTTAGTTTTTGAGAAATAAATTTTTGAAATGATCGACAATTTCTTCGAATCTTGCAATTTTCGTCGATTAAGTTTTAAAAATTCGTATAAAATCCATTTCTTGGAATATGAGTATGAAAATTTCCCAAAGTGTTAATAGGAGTGTCCTCTTTCCAATGAAGCAATACGATTTGAAAAATAACTTTTAGTTTTTGAGAAAACAATATTTGAAGTTTTGATTAAATTTTCGATGTTGCAATTTTTATCGATAATTTTCAAAATTTGCTATAAAATTAATTTCTTGAAGGATCGTTATGGAAATATCACAAATTATTAATTATAGTATTCTCTTTTTAATGCAGCAAGCCGTTTTGAAAAATCGCTTTTAGTTTTTGAGAAATAAATTTTTGAAATGATCGACAATTTCTTCGATTTTGCAATTTTTGTCGATTAAGTTTTAAAAATTCGTATAAAATCCATTTCTTGGAATATGAGTATGAAAATTTCTCAAAGTGTTAATAAAAGTGTCCTCTTTCCAATGAACTAACCCGTTTTGAAAACTAACTTTTAGCTTTTAAGAAACCATTACTTGAAGTTTTGATGAAATTTTCGTTGTTGCAATTTTCATCGATAATTTTCAAAATTCGCTATAAGATTCATTTCGTGAAAGATCCTTGTGGAAATATCACCAATTATTAATTAAGGTATCCTTTTTTTAATGCAGCAAGCCGTTTTGAAAAGTCGCTTTTAGTTTTTGAGAAATAAATTTTTGAAATGATCGACAATTTTTTCGAATTTTGCAATTTTCGTCGATTAAGTTCTAAAAATTCGTATAAAATCCATTTCTTGGAATATGAGTTTGAAAATTTCCTAAAATGTTAATAAAAGTGTCCTCTTTACAATTAATCAACACGTTTTTTAAAAAAACTTTTATTTTTTGAGAAAAATATCGCCGTTTATTAATTAAAGTATCCTCTTTTTAGAGTTGCTTTGTTAGTTAAACCAGCATCAAAAAAATTCATTTTGTATCTTGGATCCAAATAAGTTGACATATCTTATCAGCTTTCTTATTAATTTCATTTTTATTCAAATATCGCAATAATGTGACAATATAGGATATCACTTCAGAAATGCACCAGAAAAACCATAATGGCCGGATAGATATGCCGGATAACCGGATATCCGGTCGAAGGGGATGCCGAATATTCGGTATATGGCTTTTCGCAAAATTACTATCCGTTCCATCACTACAGAGAAGCGTTGGTTTCTAAAACATTACCAACAAATGTAAAGTTAGTGTTAGAGCAAGTGGTATCTGTAGTTAATTATTGAAACCTGTCATTGAAACCTGTCTATTTGAACAACTTTGCAATTCCATGGATTCGAAATATGAATCCTTACTTTTACACACTGAAGTAAGATGGTTATCAAGAGGTAAAGTGCTGACTCGGGTTTACGAACTCAGACATGAGCTCTTGACTTTTTTTCAAAAAGAATGTGCTAAACTTGCGTATTTAGCCGATATTTTTCATTACTTGAACAGTGTTAATACAAGTATGCAAGGAAGAAACGAAAACATTTTAACTTGCACTGATAAATTGCTAACATTCCAGAACAAAATTTCATTTTGGAATAATCGAATATTAGAAAAAAGGACAGTTGATATGTTTCCATTAATTTCAAGTGAAGATGCAACCGAAATTATTTCTATAATAACAGAACATTTATCTTTATTACATGAACAAATAGTCTTTTGCATCCCTTAATGGGTACTCTTAGCCTTTCTACCTAAAGATGGTGTTCCGCTATTTTTTATTGCTATCAAAAGTGTTCCGCCACCATGAAAAGTTTGAGAACTACTGTGTTAGAGGTTAACACCTCTTGTGTCCTAAATAAGGTTTGGAAGTATATTTTTCAGGTCGTTTTTATCATTTGTACGTCGCTTATTATCTGTTCTTACAGAGAATTGTACGCGATTTATATCCCTCCCTTGGATTATTAGTTTCTTATTATTAGTTTTCATTTCGCTTCTTTCTTTCCTTCCCCTATGGTTTTTTTGAACTCTTTGTCGAACCATTCTATTCTTTACAGAATGATTTGAGTTTCTTCCTGTACTATGATAACTTTAATATCTATTTTTTTACACATCTTTCACAAAGAATAATCGAAAGTTTTGGTCTTGTTTACTTTACTCAAGTTGACCTCAGATTGATTTTAATGTGTTATTTACTTGACTTTAAGTTATAACTAGAGAAATTTCCTCAAAGTTGTTCTTGTTGCAATCATTTCAATTGCAACAAGACCATAATAATCGTCTTAATTTAACAAATTTTTAATAATGATATTAATAAACCTTTAGACTACTCCAGCTAATTATTAAAGTGAAAAAGTCAAAAACTACATTTACTTATGAAATACCTTTCCTTCAAACATCGTTTTTCCTTCTTGTGACTTGTCAGTGCCACCTAAAACATCCCCAACTTTCTCCCAATGGCTATTATCTCCATCTTCAACCCATGTATAAGCTACAACTCCTTGAGGTTCCCTTATCATCTTCATTTGACCAGCTTTTTTACCTGGATCGTATAAAGCTTCTTTTCCAGGTAAACTATATATCAAAGAAATTTATATAAAATACTTAATTCATTAATAATTTAATATAACAATCATACTCAGAAACTTTATATCCACCAATTTCCTGACTGGTTTGCTTTTGAAGGGCCATAACTTCCTCATCATAAGCTTTCAGAGCATCTTCACTTGCAAATCTTGATTCATCTTGTGTAAAAATGCGAATCGCCCCATCACTATTAACATTTTTCAAAAATTATTTTATATTATTATTTACTTATTTTGGAATTACCTTGAACCTGTAACTATGTCGCCATTTTTTAAACAACAAACTGACCAAACTGATTGAGATGGCAATTGAATTGATTGTGTGTTAATTCCATTTTCCCAAAATCGAATTGTTTTATCTTCATCAGAAGTTACAAAACATTCTTCACCACAAGCTAAATTTCTTGCAACACTGTTTTAAATGTTAGAATTTTATTGTCTCTAATTAAATAAATTTGTATTAAACTTTTACCTGTAAATGTAATTAGTGTGTCCATATAAAGTATTTATATTTTCTCCACCATAAGACCAAAGTTTAATAGTAGCGTCATTTGAAACGCTAATGAAGTATTGGTTTTCAGCAAAATCAGCAAGATCTCGAACACAATCTGCATGTCCTGTTAATGACATGAATCTTTGTCCATTTTTAAACCATAATCCAATTGTTTTATCAGCAGAGGCAGTTACTACATTTGAATTTGATAGTTGTATCACAGACCAAACTGATGCAGAATGTCCAGTAAATGTTACCAAAGAACTTTGGACATTATTTAAGTTCCATAACTTTGCTGAATTATCCCAAGAACTACTTAAAAACGTTTTTGGTTCTAATCCCTTTGTTAAGCAACACACTAAAAAAAATAAACTAATCTTTGAGCAATAAATTTATACAAACTAACCTGTATTTGTATGTTCTTTAATTGTAGATGTAGCAAATGGTTCTGAAGGTTTATAAATTAAAATAGCATTGTCATTCCCGCCTGTAATAACCAAACCATCGGGAAAATCTTCAGTTGGCTCAATATACAGAATACTACCCACAAAGTTTTTTTGATCACGATAGGTCATCGCCTCAAAATAATCCGTCGTTAATCTACATGTTTATAAAACGAGAATTATCATAAAAAAATACAGATAAAGATTATTTTACCCATCAGGTTTCCAAAGTTTGGCAGTTTTATCTCTAGAACCACTTAAAATACAACCATCTTCCGTAGCTGAAACGCATCGAACATCTAAAGAATGATGGAGCAAAACGTTGCTCAACTTATACGGTTTTGTCATGTTTTCCAAATGTGCTATTCACTGTTGAAAATAATTATAACTTTTGGAGGTAGAAGACTTTGACGAGCTGTCAGTTTGGCAACCGGCGCGGCGGGGCAGTAATACCAAAGTAACATTTTTATAGGCTAAAATGTAACTAGGAAGATTAATATAAATTTAATTGTTAATAACTATGAAATTATTTTATTCTTTGCAAAATTCACATAAAAATTGTGAAAGAAAATTTAAGTCAACTAAAGAATATGTTTAAATTAAGAAAGAAAATATTTTAAAAGGTGGATTTAGAGCAACTTCTTCAAATACATTACAGCTGAATAACGATAATTTAAATTAAAATTTCGATGTGTAGACACAAACTTAATTCCACGTAAATTATGAATTATATGGTTATTAAAGCAAATAATTTTAAATGTAAAAAATTCAATAAAATTTAATTTTAGTAAAACATTGTTTATTTGGTTGCCTACATCGATAAAGAAAAATAAGTTGAAAATCTAAAGAAATATATAAATTATAGATACTTTATACCAGAAAACTTTGAATCTCTTAATTACAAAGTGATCTCCTCTTATCCATTTTCGGTTTGCACGTGGCCTCCACTCGAACAGTCTATTTGTAGTGTCTCTAAGTGATCACATCAGTAATTCTCCTACTTCTTTTTAAATTTACACTGGCACATATTCGGTGGAGGTCATACAGCATTATGTACATTTCCTTAAGATTATTAGAGAATAAAACTATATCGTCTGCGAACTTTAAATTTTTTAAGCTCTGCCCGTCATATGTCCCCCTTTCATCACAATCGAGTCTTTTACATGCATTTTCTAGTATTGTGGCAAACAGTTTAGTCGATAACGCATTACCTTGTCGTACTCCTCTGCTCAGTTGGACAGGATTCGCGCTTTCTTGCAGTTTCACTGCCACGGTGCCATTTCTGTATGCTTATATTTCATGCTTGAAGTATGTCAAAATGGCTACACGCTCTACTCTATCGATTGCTTTATGGAAATCCCCAGAAGCCGTAACAAGCAGCTTTTTCGATTATCATTTTGATATTATGTGTTCGTTCCAAATCCTGTACGAACTTGTTCTATCGGTTGGTAAAAGTCGAGATTGTTTTCAAGTCTAGACCCCAACTTTTTGCCAACTGTTTGGTACTGTACTGTTAGAAAGACACATATCTATTACATAGTATTTTCTTCACCTGGGGATTTGTTGTTTTTAATTTTCATTAGGACCACTGACAAAGGTCTTTTTTCGAGTAAGTATTTCTGGCTTCTCTTCTCTTACAGGATCTCGTCTGTTCTTGTTTTTAACTTTGATATTTGCCTTATATCTCTTTCTAATTTTCTTCGTAGTACTTTCATACTTTTAAAGTTTTGGATAGTCTGTTGTATTTGTTCTTAATTGCATTTTCAATGTCATGTTTAACCGCCTTAGATACTTGCTTATTTATTTCTTGCGATTCATCCACTCAAGTGGGCATTCCACTCTTCATCTTCCTTCTTTTCTGTATCATTTGCTTGATACTTTCTCTAAGTTTCTCATTTTTTTTTCAGATTTGGGACAGAATTTGTTTTGATGATCATTCAGACCATTAATGTTATCTTACATATATCTGGAAGACGTCTGGAATAAAACTTAGGACGTTAAAATCGCTACATATGTTTAATGGTAAAGTGTAAATGTTGATCCTTAGTACCAGCTCCAATATCATCGTAAAATAGGTCCACTAAATAGGCATTTGATTTCAGTGTTAAACAAGCAACTTTCATGTTATAATACAGTCTTTGATTATATATAATATGGATTGAGCTAACTGAATATATCTACTAACAAAAATGTTGCTCAAGGTGAATAGACGCAGATGGAAAGCGATAATGTGAAAGTGTAACAAAGATAGACATAAAACGGTACTAAACAGACGGGCGCATGCGCACAAAAGTGTCAAACCTCTTCCATTTGACGTTTATCGTTTTGTTGTGTCACAGCCAGTCATACCGTTATGTTTAAAAATGTATTGTTTCGTGTGCAAAGTTCGCGATAATACAGTTTCACATCACCTGTAAGTATTATAAATAATAAGGAAATTTTATTTTCTTTTTTTTTTCTTTTTTCATTTATTAATTTTGTTTTAAATTTACCGCCAAAATTAACGCACGCCCATTATATGTCAGTACGCTTCTATGTCTATCTCGGTTCGATCACCTTGCGCAAGCTATCTCTCTCGTTGGCTCAATCCATATTATATATAATCAAAGAATACAGTCTATTAAATCTTCCAACTTTTGGCCATATTCTAAATACCAAAACTTAGTTTATAACATGATCTTGGAAAACATAATAAAAATAAAAATGTGTTGCGTTTTGACATGCTCCTTGCAGCACAACTGTAAATAAGAATCGCACTCCTACTATTTTTCTTTTTTCCACATACGTTTATATCTAGATAAATAGGTACTATGTTATATTCAGAGGTAATTTCTAATTGCTGTTGACGATTGCAAATGTGGTTTCATTCGCATATATAGTAGACGCCACGAGAGCTGGCAGTAAATCATCATTGTCCGCTTTTACAAATGCCATACGTAGTTCACAAACCGCTAGAGAGTAATGTGTGTTAGAAAGAGATAGCATTATTTTAATATGTCTCCTGTACAATTCAAATGGCCACGTCGAAAAAGTACGTCTGTTCTTCTAAGGGATGTAACTCTATAATTACAACCTCAAATCGAAACGTCTTGTGAGCGTTGTCATGAATCTGTCAGTGTTTTCACAAGCCGAAAATGTTTTCTTTGAAAGGAAAATCATTAAATAATATTTTTGACAATGTTTGACATATAACCTCCATTACTAACATAACCTACATTTAAATGTATGTGGTGAAATAATCTAAGTCGTACGTCCATATCTTGATTCATACCATTTTTAAGCGATCTGTCACCGCCAGCTCTCGTGGTTTCTACTATATCTTCACTCTGTACCATTTAGTATTATATTTGTATTAATTACTGCAATATTTAGAAATTAGAAAATTCCCATTTAGAGAGAAACAAAGAGATATCATTCAGAAGGGCAAAACCAATCTGTCTACCACATCCGTAGATAAGTTTATTAGAGGCTTTATAAGATATACCGGGTGTCCCTTAAAAGTGGCTCACCTCCATATCTTTTTTAATTATTAGTGATATAAGAAAACCATTTGGAATGCATAATTAGGCCGTTAAAAAGGATTATTACGACATGAAATCATTCTCTTTGTACTTCCGGTTATACCGGATGTGAGTACTAATTTCGCTATTTTTTTAAATCTATAAATTTTTTTTCTTCAGTTGGGTAGACAGCATAAATTATTATGCTGATGTTATGATCCTCTTGATTTACTGTTTCTCGAGCAGTGATCACTGCTATGTTTTAGTCAGTGGTTCTTTTTTAATAATGGTGTAAGTTAACAGTTGTATTAAATTAGTTTTAAAAGAAAAACGCGATTAAACAATTAAGTTTAATTCAACTATCTTTGATCTTTTATTTTTTGTTCTTTTACACTTACTCATTAGCGACTCACTGTGTTCGTCGCTAAACGACAGACCACGCTATAAAAAACACTGCTTCTCTTCCATATAAAACAATATACTATTTATTGTGAAGGGTTGCAAATTTTCTCTAGACATATGATGACTTATATCAAATTATATTAAAATTCAGAGGGGAACTGAATTGAACAAAACTGAATATATTTTAGCTGACACTAGTACCTCGGATAAACGCTATATGCAAATTTTCAGAAAAATAGTGCCAGTAGTTTGCCACATACATATAGGCTCAGCTCGTCGTGACAGACCCTGTACAATAATGACATTTTATTACACATTTTTCTTTAAATTCTAAATATCAGGAAAACTATTAAAGTTAGACCTATGACATACGTATCATTAATTAAAAGGAACTTGATGGGCAATTTAACCACTTCACAATATACAGGTGTCCCATTTAAAAAACCTAAGAAAAAGTCATTTAAAAACATCAAAGGTAACTAAGCTTTATAAACACTGTATAGTGTATCTAATATCTTTGAATACTATCATCTACCTACTGGCTTTGACTATTGTCTGACGTAGTTTCAAGGTAAAATCGAAGAAAATGCCGTTTTTACATAGTTTTTAAAAAGATCCTATAATGGGCACATTTTGGAAGAACAATGGAATATCTCAGGAACTATGAACATTGTGAAATAGTAACATATACGGTTGTATAAACAAACTTGGTTGTATTCATAATATTATAAAATATACAGGTGTTCCATTTAAACAAATTTACGTACTCTCCGTTACGCTTAAATGGAACCTCCTGTATAAGTGAAAATAATTTTTTGTAATTCGCGACGGTAATGAAAGCTATAACAGTACTCAAACGGGTGCTGTAATGAGACTCCTTACAGCATCCGATGCTTTAATGAGATTTTAGTAACATTTTATGGAACCAGTTCAACTTGGTGACATTGGGTCATTAATTTTTCTAGTTGTCAATGTGACAATGTTTGTCTATGGATGTTTAAACACGTTCTTAGCATGGAACAATTTCTCTTATTTTGGGAGGTGTACAGGGTGGTTCAAATTCAATGTCCGAATAGGCTAACTCGGAAACTATAAGAGTTAGAAAAAAAGTAACTTACATGTCATGATCTCGTTTTTCGAGAAACTGCTAATGCCGAAAACCTCATAGCGCTATCGTCTTTTGTTCTTCCCCTAGAGGCCAAAATTGAAAATATCGTAAANGAAACAGATTAATTAATGAATAATTAAATATGAACAACAACTTCAGGAACTAAACAGTCACAAACTGTGTCATCTTCTTCTACTAAACTTATTGGTTGTAAGGTTGTAAGTTGGGTATCAATGAATGAAATCTTCGGTAGTATCTTCCCAGTTTTCCCCAACCATGAGATTTAGAGGTTTTTTCATATTAGCAACCTTTTCTTTTGAAATTGGGTGAGATAGAGGAAGATTAGGGATCATAAACTGGGCAGCGAACTTTCCATTGAAACGATGCTTATATGGGATATGGAGCCTTATCTATCATTTTCAAAGAATCATTTTTTTAATCTTATCGCTTTATGTATTTTAAAGATAATGAGGAATTTTTAAGCGGCAAACTCGTTTGGAAAAATTCATGAATGAAATGATCAGTAAACTCACGTTACTATAGTAACTAAGTGGTATTTAACGTTTTCCTCGCCTACTATAATTAAAATTTTGAATTTTTATCTTTAATATTTTAGAATTAAAAAATAATGCTTATTTTCCCCAAATACACCATGCGTGCAATACATCATTGAAAAGCTAAAAATATGCTCTTTTCGGTAACACCATAATCTACTATAGTTTGTATTTAAAAAAATACAACTTTGTGTAGTATCTCAAAAATCATCAAATACTTTTAAAATTTTTCAACGGCAGTATATTCTACTTAAAAAAGTGCCTTAAGAACGTATCAACCCCATTTCTCTAATTTCAAAAATAAACGAAATATGAGCATTTTTTGAAATCACGAAAATTTAACTTTTTGGCTATAACTTAGAAACAAAAGAAGATAGAGGTTTGGTGTTTGCGGGATTGGGTTAGTCTCGAAAAAAGAGACCGGGACATGGCACCTACTTTTTTCGTATCTCTTATAGTTTCTGAGATAGCCTATAAAAACACCCAAATTTGCCCACCTGTACATGAAACATTTTTTTCAGGTGAATACATTTTCTGTTTTGACAGTTTCTAACTAAACATGAAGCTATGAGTGGTTGAAAAAAATTAGAGTAAGTGAAAAATTTTTTCACTCACTCGTTGCTATGAAAGTCAGCAGAGTGAATGCAAATAACAACTTTCAACACTCGTATCCAAGCTAGAAACTGACAATTTCGAAGGATTGAACAAATGTATTTTGTTAAATAATTGTTACTACAGTGTACAAGAATGTATGGAGCTAATAACGTTTTTTTCCAATTTTTATTGAGAAATTAAAGAATTATTATTATTATTAATAAAGGTGAGTTTAGACATGCATGGATTTAGTGGCGCCACTGGCGTGGCACATATAAAAAATAAGTGACACGCCAGTGTCATTTTAAAGTGTACTACAACTATATACACAAATTAGGACCTCAACTGAAACGAAAATAGATATATTCTAGGTTTTATGTGGATAATTAAACAGTATCTTTGAATCTGTTAACGTAATTGGGATTTAATTTCACTGGCGCCAGTAATTTCACTAATTTTAATTTTTTTAGTTTAATTTGACTTTTCCGATCCATGCATGCATGGTTTCAACTTGCATGCCAGTTGATATTTACACATGCAATTTAATTTTACTGGCGCGCCAGTTTTTATTGACAACCTAAAATTAATAAACAGAATTAAAGTTAAAATAAATTGGAACAAACAAAATTTAACTACAAAAATAACTCGAAAACTTTATATTGATTAACAAGAGAAATTTTAATCTAGTAATTTACCTGACTTTACTTGAAAATCTGTATAAGCAATTTAATTAAAAACATCAAAAAATATCTAAGTTCAACAATTACAAAATGATCAATTTAATAAAATGAATAATTCAAAAATAACATCGAATATTACGTAGGTTTATACCAAATCAGAAGAAGCCAAAGCAATTAGTTACAATCTTTACAAGTTAATATATAAAATAAAACATTAACGACTTACCAAGGGTTAAAGCGATCATATTGAGAGGAGCGACTCGTCAAAAGTATAACACTTTAATTTTAATCCGATCGAATAAAAGTTAATTAATAATTATTAATTAAATAACTTACATCAAACTTAAGAATTACCGGAGTCTTACTCGGACTTTACACTAAGACTCTTAACCGAAACCGAACAGGGTGCTTCGCCGAAGAAATTAATTTAAATCCAAACCGAACTCTCGCAAAAGGCGCTCCTCCTCAATATTTAAACCTTCACCCCCTGGACGCTCTTGCCTCTAGGAAAGTCCTCATTGGCCAACACATGGCTCAACCAATTAGAAATTGCAACATCAGCAATTAAACAAAAGAGAGGGAAGGAAAACAAAAGGAAAACGTTTTCCCCCTGGACGCTCTTAACTCTAAGAATGATCTTATTGGTCAACGCGTGGTTTAACCAATCAAACAATTACAATTATAACAATCAGACAAAGGAAAAGGAAGGGAAGGATGAGTCGAGCTGCGATCCCCTCTATCCGAGAATGAATAAAAATATCAATAATTAATTACCAAAATCTGAACTGGTCTGCGGATCGCTACAGCGCCACTAAATCCATGCATGTCTAAACTCACTATAAGCTAACGGTACGAAATCATGGAAACTTACGTTTGCCTTAAGCTGTCATAACAAAACGTATCTATCAATTGTTTCCATAGTATACTATCTGAACAGTTTGCAAATTAAAAGAATAAATGGCTAGAATTCATTTATTAATAAGAATATCCATGTCAAGTGGTATATTTATCATTAGAATCGTTGAGAAAAGGCCTTCTTTATAAAGTCATGGCCAACTATGGTTTCCATTAGGAAAATTACAAGTTTGTGTCATAACTCAAAAATTATTGCTTAAATAAAAAAATCAGTTAGACTGCTTTATTGAACATGTAAAATACCCCACAAATTTTTCCTTTACACATTTTTCCTAAAATCAATAATAGCGTAACCATAGGTATCGAACGATATAACAAAAAAACGGTTTTTTCAAGATATCTAGTTAACCATGCATTTCATCCAAAAAACAAAAAGTTCATTAAATTGAGTTCATGAAACTGCAATTCTTTCCCTATTTAATTGTCTCTCTATCTCCGCTAGTTTTCGAGATCTTCATACTAAATATGCACAAAAACTCACCTGTATGTATATTAACTTTTTTTTGTAGTAAATTCTGTATATTATATCTTTTCTGGAAGGGGCGCCAATACAGTGTCGTGCCCCGGGGGCCAGTTACGTTCGCTGCGCCACTCTCTGGATAGTTCTGTTAACATATCTAAGAAATTGTTGTGTGATACCCTTAATGAAAATAAATTTAGTTGTACCAAAGTAAATTTATTTCAAAACTTTAAATAAGCAGATATTGATTATTTCTTATATTTAATCACATCTCATGTGGCATTATTCATACAAAAATATTGATCTTGTCATGAAAACTCGACGGTTTATACCTCTTTTATTAAGTTCATTTTTATTGATTAACGAATTTCACTTGATCTAATAAAATAAAGGGATTTTTAAAACAGCAAAAACACATTTTATTACTTTATAATGTTCTATTTTTAACACACCTTTCATCTGTTTTAGTTTTACCATCAGTACTTTGTTTACAACCGTCCGAAGATGTCAGAAGATTTAAAAGAATAGAATTACCATTTTCAGGGCTTTCAACTTCCTCTTCAACCTCATCTACAGCATTTAATAGCTAGTCTTCCTCGAAGGTGCAAAAATGTACTTAAACTAAGGAGTTATCCTACTAAATATTAGATTTAAATGAAAATTTACATTTAAAACGTTGTTAATTAATTAATTGTTAATGTATAAATAAATTTAAAGTGTCCCTAATTAGTTGTCCAAATTAAAATAGCCAATATGTATTTATTTTATTTTTTAAGTTGCCAATTATGTATTATTTTCGTTTTTGTTTCAATAATTACATGAATTATAAGATAATAAACATAATTTTTTTTGTTCAAGAAATTTAATAAAAAAAAACTCAACATTTTAAAATAAAAAATGTTGTCCCTAATTAAATGACCACCACTGTATATTAATTTTTTTTTGTAGTAAATTCTGTATATCTTTTCTGGAAGGGGCGCCAATACAGTGTTGTGTCCTGGGGGCCAGTTATGTTTGCTATCTCTGGATAGTTCTGTTAACATATTTAAGAAATTGTTGTGTATGATACCTTTAATGAAAATAAATTTAGTTGTACCAAAGTAAATTTATTTCAAAACTTTAAATAAGCAGATATTGATTATTTCTTATATTTAATCACATCTCATGTGGCATTATTCATACAAAAATATTGATCTTGTCAAACTCAAAGGTTTATACCTCACTTTTAATAAGTTCATTTTTATTGATTAACGAATTTCACTTGATCTAATAAAATAAAGGGATTTTTAAAACAGCAAAAACACATTTTATTACTTTATAATGTTCTATTTTTAATACACCTTTCATCTGTTTTACTTTTACCATCAGTACTTTGTTTACAACCGTCTGAAGATGTCAGAAGATTTAAAAGGATAGAATTTCCAATTTCAGGGCTTTCAACTTCCTCTTCAACCTCATCTACAGCATTTATAGCATAAGTATGATCAGTTTCATTTCCTTTAATTTTTCCACTTGATTTTACTTTATCAATTATCCATGCAGCTAAATATTCAGCACGATCTTCTCTTGATAATGTAGTAATATATTCTCTGTGAGTTAGAAAATCTTGTTCTTGATGTGTTAAATTATCTTTTTCAGATGGTGGTGGTATTCTTGGGGATTTGTTTATAATAAAATCTTTTTCAGTCCAATTAATTTGTCTTATTATTCTGTTAGATTTTCCTTTAGGGAATATTTTTGTTAATTTTTCATGTATCAATTCATTCATGTAACTTTTGGATGCTCTAAATTGTTTTCTTTTTAAGTAGGTGGTTGATGCTGATAAAGTTTTTACTTGACGCCTTAATTTTGTTGTTAACAATTCTTTCTTTTTTAGTTTCCTCCCTAAATCATTATTCTCCAACACAAGGTGGCAAATCTTTTTTTCAAGTCCTCGCAGATAATTTATTTGTTCTTCTGTTAGTTTTCTATCTATTCCTGCTTGACAAGCAACATTTTTCGTTTGCACTTTAATTACATTTTGTGGTATTTGGATTATTAAAAACTCGTTAGATGGGTTAGAATTTTTATTTTCTTCTTCAGAAGTTTCTACTTTTACTGTCGGCACAGCCGTTGGTTTTAAAAACACTTTTGGTTTTAAATTTAAAAGCTCCGATTTTAAATCACGTTCAAAATCTTCCGGTTTAAAATGGAGAGAACAAACCACGTCGGTTTTTAAATTTACGTTAGGTTTACATTTGGAGACCCAATACGGAAGTACGTTGTCTCTTTTTGGAATATGATGAAACGATAGATTTAAACCGATCACTGTGGAAATTTTTTTGGTCATGCGACACCCTCTTATCGAACAGCTAGCTGGCATCACAGAAATTATTAATGTAATTTATAAGAATGTGGAAATAAAGGTCAAAATATTTACGTTGATTAAAATACACGTTATAACCTCAATGAAGTATGTTGAAGATTAACAAAATGGGCCTTCCAGACGTCACATATCACGAAGTAGGACACGAAAAGGGGGGATTTTATTCCAGATGTATACAAAGTTAGGCAACCAAATTAACATTAATCAATTTATTAAAAAAACTTTATTTAATTTAACCTTTGTGTCCCAAGAAGTCAAAAATTTTGAAACTTTGTGACAAAATTAAAACGCTGTCAAAATACACTCTCGTTTGTAACCAATTTTAGCAAAATATGCAATTTCTGGAAGCTGTGTTTATTGAAATTAAGAAATTAAACTTATTTTAAATTGAAGCTTAAAGCTTTCTGTTTAAATCGATGTATAATATAATAATCGTTGGGTTGAATTAGAAAAAAATTGAGAAAAAAAATGTTAAAACATCACTTACATTTTCGTATAACCTAAAAGTGTCAAAAAAGATGCTAATTTAAAAATTCCTGGAAGTCGTATTTATTGAAATTAAGGAATGAAACTTATTCTAAATTAAAGCTCAAAGGTTTCTCTTTAAAATGATGTATAATAATTATTGGGTTGGATTGGAAAAATAATTTTGAAACAAAACTTACATTTTCGTAGAACCTAAAAGCGTCGAAAAAGATGCTAATTTAAAAATTCCTAGAAGCCGTATTTATTGAAATTAAGGAATGAGACTTATTCTAAATTAAAGCTCAAAGCTTTCTCTTTAGAATGATATATAATAATCATCGGATTGGATTGGAAAAATATTGAGAAAAAAAATGTTGAAATAAAACTTACATTTTCGTATAACCTAAAAGTGTCAAAAAAGATGCTAATTTAAAAATTCCTGGAAGCCGTGTTTATTGAAATTAAGGAATGAGACTTATTCTAAATTAAAGCTCAAAGCTTTCTCTTTAAAATGATGTATAATAATTGTTGGGTTGGATTGGAAAAATATTGACAACAAAAATGTTGAAATAACACTTACATTTTCGTATAACCTAAAAGTGTCAAAAAAGATGCTAATTTAAAAATTCCTGGAAGCCGTGTCTATTCAAATTAAGGAATGAGACTTATTCTAAATTAAAGCTCAAAGCTTTCTCTTTAAAATGATCAGTAATTATCACATCTAATAACCATTTATCAAAGAGATACCTTGTTGAACAACAAAATTAAACAACACCACTTTTCACTAAACTTCTAACTTCACATCTGGGTGAATAAGTTTAAATTGCGTTGTTTTTTATACAGATTATTTCTTGTATAGTAGAAAGTACCGACAGCTCCAAATGCACCGAATAAATGACTACAGTTTAAAATGAGTGTTTAAAACTACCAGTACTTTAAAGTACAATTGAAATCAATTTTTTCAATTGAAATCATAGCTCAAAATTCTATAAGAGTAATCGATGGAACTCTTGGGGGGGGGGTCACCGGAACTCTCATCAGAACTACAAAATTTTCATCCCATCTGGACTTAGAAATTTCATAGACTTATTTCATAGAATTAGAAAACATAGGAGTTCAATCGATTATTCTTATAAAATTTTAAGCTATGATTTCAGTTAAGTAAGTTCTAGCAATGTTTTCTTACATTTTCTATCAAACTCGTATAGTTACTAATAAGCTATCTGCTATACAGTACTGCCATCTGAAATAGTTAAATTCAAAGAACAGGATTTGCAATTGCTCCTTTTATCCCTACCTGAATATGCTGAGTTCTAGTATTAGCTCTAGTTGTTGTTATTATTCAGCATTAGGTTGTTGTATATTTAACTAAAACAAGAACTAACACTAGACCTAGAATGTCTCGGGTTTTGCCACGCACTTTGAGATGCAAGGCAAAACCCGACTGTTTCTAGTTCCAGGTCAAGTACTAGTTTTAGTTATAGTGCTAGTTTCTAGTCTTAGGTCTAGTGTTATTTCTAGTGATACTGTTAATTAGTTTTAGTTGTTATTCAGCGCAAAGTTGTTGCATATCTTCAACACTTCGAACTTGTTCTGAAATAGGTTATAGTGCTAGTGTTGGTTCTAGTTCCATATAATACATTAATTGTAACAAAAGTATTAATAATTATGTAAATAATATCTGTTTCCCTCCCTGTTGAAAGCGTGTGAATATGTTGTGCGCTTCAATGATAATGGCTTATCATACAAATGGGTTAATAGCTTTCCTTTTGAAAGGAAATTTCCTCTATAATGAAACAAATTATTTAAATAAATACGGTTTTTATTATATTTATACAGGCAAGTGATATATTAACTGTAATTATTCCTTTTTAAAACATCTTAGCTAATAACAAGAATGATCACAGCGTTTTTTATAAATTTACCTAAAGGAATTTTTATAGATTTTTACATTATTAATAACAAAAAGGAACAATTACAATTAATACAAGTGTTACTATGTGTAATAAGTCATGCGGATATATATAAATATCACAATAAAATAATGTTCCCTAATAGTAGAGTAAAAAAAATTAAATATTTCTTGTTTAAATACAAATTATTTAGTACAGTCACCTGATAAAGTAATGCATCAATAATGTATCGAAAAGTAAAGCGAGACAGATAAATTAATACAGATAATTAATTCTTTTTTTACTTAGGTGGATGTGGCTTATCTTCTTCATTTAGACATTTTAGACAAACATCTTTATGTCAAATGGGTAAATTACCACAAATGAAATAAGATTTGTTTATAAGGTGACTGTAACGCTACAAAGTACTGCAAGTAATACAATTTAATTTGACGAGAACTGACCATAGTCAACATAAAGAAAAAAAAATTTGCTGAAACACTATTAATAATCTTGTCCAACACTGTATAAGTAGTAACCAGTGGTTCTTCTCTTAACCTCTAAATGTGAGCATTTAATTCTGGATCGCTGGTGTCTGGTCTCTCACGCATTAGCTGCCATAAAAAGGTGCAAAAATGTAAGGAACTGTGTGATATCGCCTTTCAGCAGTGTTGCCACTATGCTGTAAAATGTAATGGCAACCTTGCCTTTCAGTGATACCACTATAAATTGATTTAGAACATATTTTGCAAACATTTTGGTCCAGTGACAAAATGCCAAAAAATCCTAGTTTCACTGGATCAATAGGATGAGCAAACTCCACAATAAGTGTGACTTAATTATCCATTTACCAGTAGAGAAACTTGTGGAAAAGATACCAAATCCATACTTGATTGCTGGAACTAATTATGTATTTGATGGAAAATCCATAGTTTTGCAGTTATTTCAAATTTCATAAAGTGGGATTAGATTGCTGAAGAATGTGGGATGGATAACAATGATTCATCGATTTCCAGGATCTCATTTTCCAGAAAGAATTGACTTAACATTGTAAAAATGAAAAGTAAGAAGGAATTGATGACTAGTATTTTGCATAATTTATTGATGTCGTTTGATGTGTATCTTAACGCGAAAAAAAGTCAAGACCCTCAGATAATCCATAGATTTGGACTACAAGAATATGATCTTGAGTTTAAAAATTGTCCAGGAGAAAGATTTTGGCAATTTAGGGCACCGGTTCAAAAAGCAGAAGAAATACTAAGAGATGAGTATGAAATGTACCAATGTGTTCTAAAAGAAAAATCATGAGTGCACAAATAAGAATTAAAAGATTATCGACGCTCTATATTTATTTAATAACTTATGTTTTTTTATGCGACCTGCGCACTTAACCAACCAAATTTGTCTTGATTTGTTATCCATCCATGGCTACACAAAAGGAGTTTCAGCTCATTTCTTTAGTAAACCAAATAAATTCAATTTGGCTAAATTGAGCAAGTTATTTCTGTTATTGCCATAACTTTACCTATATGAGTAATTTTGCGAATTTTTAATAAATTATATATCCTCATCATATTAAACTGAATACCCAGCACATAAATACAAATAATTGATTTTATAATAATAATTATTAACAAAATAAGACCCCAAAATACAATGTAATTTTTAAAGTAGACATAAATATAAATATAAACTTTCTCCATAATGTAATAAAAACAATAGTATTTTTTTTTGTTAGTCTATAACCAATACAACTTAGGATCATCACGACGATATTGCAATTTGAGAACATGACGGTAAATTTTCAAAGCAGGACCTAGTTTTAATTTTAAACCGGTTAAAACGTCGAATCGTTTCATTAAAAGCAATGATCTACCATCGATTTGATGTTCTAAAAACGCTTTTGCTTCTTCGGGAAAATATTGCGCGAAATAGTTGTAAACTTCGTCGTAAGTCCAATGGGTCGGATCTGGAATGGTCGGATCAATATTTTCTTCAACATCCATGTCTTTAAAACTTGTACTGTCGGATTTTACGGAAAGCGACGGACTTGTTCTGTGGTCATTTATTACTTGGGTTTGTGGGCTGAGAGGAACTGGAGATGGTTGCAAAGATCTGAAGTGGTGATCTGGCGAAGAATTTACGGAAGAATGTGAGGAAGGAGTTGGACATTCTGTAAAAAAATAAATTAAATTTTAAGAACTAACAACTTTTAAGGAAACATTTACCAGTTGGTTTACTATCTTCATTATCAAATTCAATTTCAACATCTTTCATTTCCAGTTGTTCTGTAAGTTGGCAATTAACGCAAAGCCATTTTGTACCAGGTTTTATGCGCTCTGTTAATTGAGGTTGGTGACAACTCATGTGGTAAGAATCGGCACAAATGGAACAAACCGCTAAGTAACCCTGAGAATATGATTAATGAGAATGTTTTATTTTTTGTATTTAAAAACTTACAATTTCGGATGTTTCGTAACAAATTACGCATGTTTTACAATGTGGACATTGCCATGTATTATCAGGGTACATTCTCAGCATCATGTCATCACCATTTAAACAACTTGCGTGTGCTGAAAATAAATTACAAATATAGATTACACTTGAAAGTAAATTAAAGGTATTTATTTCTTAGTTTTACTATTAAGGTCGGTTTTGTTTAAAGTCATACAATGTTATTTCAATAATATCTCTATTTTTCAAATAATGCTGGATAGATTTATGATTTGCAGTATTAAAGCAGCTGGTTTTGTACATAATTATAGTAGAAAATGTGTTAATAAATAAATATAATAACATTCCTTGTTATAGAATACAATCTCTGTTAATTATAAGAAGACTGAGTTAGTTCTATTTAATAACAAAAGGTATGTTAATTAATTTAAAAGATCCTGCCATTAGAACTAATGATCTAACCTTTCAAATCGAGGTGAAAGATTGATGTAATCTTAAAAGGTTTGAGATAAAACTGTTTTTTACGAATGAGCAAAAATGCCTAAGAAGCTAATGAAAGTAAGGTCGATAAATCGTTTAAGATTAGACCGTTGTTAGACATAGTAAATGCAACTTTTCAAAATTTATGTTTTATTTATTTAAGATATTACGATCACCACTCACCACTTACTAAAAGCTCATAAAGGATAAGCCAATACGATTTGGTTACAAACTCTGGGCACTTTGTGGTGAAGATGGATATTTCTATTTCTTTTGCTAACTAATTGATATAGTCCAAAAAGCTGTTGCTTATATTTTTATAATTTTTATAGCAATCATACCTTATTTTGTCAATTAAAAGAAATGCTAGTACGTGTAACAGGTACGCGAAAATAAGAAAATGCAAAATGTCTGTTGCGACCAACCGAAGACCTAGAAAAGTTAGCTGCAGAATCCTATGATCAAAGATTTGATAGCGAAAACAAAATATTGCTGGTAAAATGGAATGATGGCAAATGTGTTTGTATGGTTTCAAATTTTGATACTATAAAACCAGTAGCATCAGTTGCAAGATGGAACAGAGTACAAAAATTAAAAGTGTAAGTCAGCCAAGACTGATTCATATAATCCATACATGGGTGGAGTAGACCATCATGATTGGCTCTTAGAAAAACATTTTATAGGAATAAGGCTTTAGGAATAGCTTTCTAATAAAAAAAACCTGCATTTCGTGCATGTTTTGATAAATTTACGAATATGAGAGAAACTACAATAAATAGGTATAGAAATGTTTATAGATAAATTGTAGAGAATTAAATTCCCTTTCGTGTAGGCTAATAAAATATGAGGCGTTCCATTTAAAATTTGCGACTTTTTCCCTATTAAATATGAAGAAACGGTAATTCAATTTTTGACCTCCCTGTATAAGATACTCTGATACAATATATGACAATCTATTTAAGAGCATCTAAAGAGTAATTGTGCCAATTTAGAGCTTTTTTGAATGAACGTTGGCTGGGATATAGGGTTTTAAAGAGCATGGTGAAATTTGCCAAAAAAACCTTAAAATCAAAATAACTCGAAAACAAAAAACGCTAGGTATCAATAACTTTTATGAAAGTATTTGTATATTTTTTTACGTACTATCAAAAGGTGCAATAAAAACTATTGCATTCCATTTAAAATAACGAAGTTATAGTCTACATCCGATAGACCGAAAGTTGCAGCCATCTTGAAAATATTTTAGATCGAAAGTTCCGACTGAACAACCCATACTATCAAAATTTGAAAACTGTACGAATACTGGAACCTAAAAAAGTTCTAACGAACCAGTTACGTGAGACACCTGTGTAAGTCAAAATTTTTTTATGGCACGTCTATGACCACATTAAACATTTCTTTAGAAAAATGGCACGTATCAACGTGATAAAGGTTCGCCATCCCTGTCTTAATAGGCTTCTTGCACATTACAATTGTGAGTTCAAATTGCTATTAAAACTCTCAAAATGGTTGAATATTCATTCAAAGTCCTAAGGTAGGATACAATTATACAAATATCATTTAATTGGTTTTAAATATTTGGATTTTTTAATAACGTATTATATACCAGGTGTAACAGGATCATGGTACACTCCCCGTATCTCCTTCAGTTTTGAAAATAATTGATTCAAATTTGGGACATCCTATACACATGATAAGAGACACTTTTTGACATACAAGTATTTTTTTTTTTTTCAATTCCGGTTTCGCCGGAAGTGACACTAACTTTACATTTTTAAATGGAACACCCTGTATATTATTACATATTTGAAATTTGAATAATTTTCTGAATGCAATGGTACCACATAAGTGACATTTCAAACGTCAATATTTTTTAGAATTTAATGTTTAATTTTCCATTCAAATGTGCCATGAGAGTTCCGTTTTATTCTAATTAACTCGTCTAATGCTAGAAAAATCTAAATTCCACCAAAAATACCAAATTACGTGATTTATGTGCAGATAAAGTTCATCAAAATGACGGAATTTACATTTTTCTAGCATTAGACGGGTTAATTAGAATAAAACGGAACTCTCATAGCACACTTAAATGAAAAATTAAACATTAAATTCTAAAAAATATTGACGTTTGAAATGTCACTTATGTGGTACCATTGGATTCAGAAAATTATTCAGATTTCAAAAATGTAATAATATACAGGTGTTCCATTTACAAATCTGAAGTTAGTGTCACTTTCGGCGAAACCGGAATTGAAAAAAAAATTAATTGTATGTCAAAAAGTGTTTCTTATGATGTGTATAGGATGTCCCAAATTTGAATCAATTATCTTCAAAACTAAAGGACATACGGGGGGTGTACCATGATCCTGTTACACCCGGTATATTGTATGTATTAAAAATGTTGTGAAAATCTGGAAATTTTTCCTCATAATCTGGAGAATTTTATTTTTTATGGTTTTCAACACTGTTTGACCTACAACCCTTGTATATAGATATACATATATCTATAAACGTATATCTATAAATAAGGGTAATACGTTTGGGCGCGTATAGTAAAATTTAAATTTTGTGAATGGCGACAAATAAAGTCCCTAGATTTACAAAGTACCGAGGTTTGCCACCATTTTAGCTCGAAATGTTGCTTACGCATGTTCTGAATCCTAAATTGATATTTCAAAAGTCGAGTGTTCTCTAATTTTTTGAACAAATGTCTGCTGGAGCAGATTTTTCTAGAAAAATTCGAATAACTCGAGAACGGCCGAATCAAATTACAAAAAATAAAGTTATTCATAAACCTTGAAAACAGACAAATCCAAATATGTAAAAATATATAGGGTGTTCTATTTAAAAAAATAAAGTAGGTGGCGTCTTCCGGTATAACCGGAAGTGCTAGAAATCTGAAAATATTTTAGTCGAAGAGAACGCAATTAATAATCCTTAAATCTGAATTTTCAAATTTTTGTTTTGGCTAGACCCCTGTAAATTTTTATTGAACGGTCGTCGTGGATGACCCTGTATGTATCTCGATGTTCTGAACAAACTTCAACTTTTAAAAGTTGAAGTTAGCAGCAAATTTAAAAATATAAAACGAATTGGAAACTATACTTTTTAAATTAAAAGAATGATACTGGCAATAATTGTTATTGCTGTCTCTCATCATTCCCACTATTAATAATAAAATTGTTAGTTTAATTAAATTATTTTGATAATCTAGGGACTTTAGCGACACTTAAAGTCCCTAGATTTACAAAGTACGGCGGTTCATGACCAAGGTTTTTATATTGAAGGTTTTCTAAGTTCCTATGCTGCAATACTTTGATTTTAGTTTGTGGGCGAGGGACAAGAGCAGGAGTGTTTCGTGACGTAAGCGATCACGGATTGCGCACGCAACCTCATGGCCATGTGGTGCTCCATGCCTTTGTTTAATTTGAATTGCTTGGCGGTATTATTTTCCACATGTGACGTAATGCGCAGTATGGTTGCGTACGAACCTAGACAACCT